CAGAACAGAAGAAGCAGAAATATAACGGGCAGCATTTTGTGAAAAGCGAAAGTTTATAGTTGGCGCACGTTCATAAAGTTTTGCGTGTTATACTAAAGATTTATTATATCGCATATATCGCAATTTTTCCTTTTGCTTTTCTTTTCAATTTTTTTTTTCATACTCGCTCTGGAAGTGAAAATGGGCATATTAGGCCGTCAAACTAGACACTTGAATTTTCTCTTGATAATTTTAATCTGATAAAATGTTAAAATTAATTTGGATTAGCCAAACAATTTAAACACTTATGAAAACTAGAAACTTGGAACATATATAACTCTGTACGCTAGAAACGGATAAATGTATCATGTTCATATAGCTACGACCATATGGAGGCGCAACAAAGTTGGCAGTTTTATAGAACTCTGAATCCTTTCGAGTAAATTCAATGTGGTTATCTTAACGGCCCTTGAGGCCTTTTAATTTATATTAAATTTTTCATGTTGTTTTACCGTGAGCGTGTATTGTGTAGTCAGCATTGCTCAACATCAACGTTCTTACTCGTTTTTTTATATTTTGTTTCTTTACTTTTTTATGCAGTGTTTGCCTTTTGGCGTCTATTTTTATGTTTTTCTTTATTTTTGATAGCAACAATAACAACGACAACAACGCTAAATGGCAAGCAAAATATGGCCTTGAGGAGTTTTCTTTTCTTTTCTTCTCTCTTTTTTTTTGGTAATGCAATTAATGTAATTGTGAAAATTTTCAATAGTAAAGTTTCCACTGCAAAGTCATGTGTGCGTGGTTGTGTACTTTTAATAATATAAAATTGTTTGTTAAGTGATAAATCGATGTATATATATACATTTATGTATATATACTACATAGTTCTAAAGAAAACTCAAATTATGTTTGTATAAATGACAAAAAATACACGGCTAATGATAATGTTTTTAGTCACTGTGTATAATTAGCTATTAGTTAGCTGACTATCGATAGTATTTGTTCAGTTAACCACAGATCTGAACTGTATAAACTACGCTGTTCATCTCAAGTTAAAAATAAAGTAAATGTATTTGAAGAAATAGTTTCTCTATGCCAGAAAGATATTCAAATTCATCTCATTTAAATACTTTCTGGTTAATTTTAAGCGCTCCATAAATTGTGAGTAAAGCTGTTTAAGCTAGCAAAATCTGGTGGAAGTCAGTCTTGGCTACACTGTTACCAAAATCCTTGACATGCAGTTGCCAACAAGCTGCAGTACTCGAAACCAATTTGTTTTTGGCCAAAAACCAAGAGAAGAAAACAGCAGAGCCACAGGATAATTTGTTTGCTGCTTCAAGCGGAAGATGTTGAAGAAGCAGCTGAAGCTGAAGCTGTAGCTATAGCTGAAGCCAAAAGGATGCACTTTAAAGTGAACAACTCGAGTGACAGGCAGCAATTAATTGAGCTGATGGCTCAGGACGAGCAGACAGACACGGAATAAAATTATTGAAGGACGCAGCGTGAGCAAAGACCTAGGATAATAAAAGATTACTTTTGCCAGGTACAGTGAACATTCGTTATCATTGAGTTACATATTTTGATATTTGAAGGAAAAAGATTATAAATACATTTTAATATTTAAGCCTTAAAAATCATATATTAAATATAAATGTAACAAAAATTTATATTATATATGAATACAATAACTTTTTTTAAATAATTATAACTTTAAAATAATACAATTAAAAATAATTTTGATTTTGATAGCTAAATACACTAAATTCTATTTAACGAGCCACCGCTGTGGCTTCACACACTCACACACACACAAACAGAGAGACTAACCAACAGCTTTGTCTTTATGTAGGTGAACGGCTTAGTGAAGCTGCTGTGCGTTAGTTTTTTGAACAAAGCTGTGGGCAAGTGGGTGGGGTAGGGTTAGGTAGCCCTATAAAATGAATGGGGGAATGGTGGGCTGTAGTAGTGTTTGTCGAGGTTACGAGGCATTGGTCAAGCCTTGAGATTTTACGCAGCTGCGTAAGCTGCGTGGCTGTGTAGTACACGATAATACCGTTATTATATACTATACGAACACATACAAAACGTATATATATATATACAACGTTTAGGAGTGTGCGTGTGTGTGAGCGTGCGTAGTAGTAAATAGTAAAATACCATAGCATACTTTTTTGGGCGCGCAACACAAACACACACAAACACATATACAGAATGAAGCAGCATGCGCACGCACACAATGTCAAACAAATTTTGATTTATGGCACCGCTTGAAACTTTTGCTAATTTATGTGATTTGGCAACCAAAAAAAGAAAAACAACAAAAACACATACTAATGATTTCTAGCGCTTTTCTTTTGTGTTCATATGCCTGTGTAAGTGTGTAATTTTATTGTGCAATCAACGAGTGCAGCTTCACATACATATACTGTATGTGAGAGGCGCTCTCACACTTTTTAATGTTGCTCTTTCGAATGAGCTCTGAATCCTTCACCGTCTCCCTTACTCTCTTCTCTCTCTCGCTTATTCGCTCAGTCAAACTTACTTGCTGCTTAGCGCGCCAAATTCGCAATTTCGAAGCTTCCGTGCGAAAAGTGCTGCTTGACCAAAAACAAAAAAAGAATGCTTTGTAACAGCGACAGCAGCGGCTGCTCCGTGTGCAGCGAAGCGCAGCGCAGTTGACGGCGACGTCAACTTTTACAGATTTTGCCGACAAAAACACACACGCTACGGTTTTACTACGCGAACCGTCGGGCAGGACCGTTAACTTTCGAACACGCTCGAGACGAGAGACGATTTATATGGCTGCGCGACGTTGACGTTAGCGTTAACGTTGGCGCTGGCGTTGGCGTTTGAGTTGGGCTCTGCTCTTCGGCTTTTTGGCGCTCACAAATATTGTACCATCTCATACATACATACATATACAAATATATGTGTGTATATATACATAAATGAATTTATATACATATATATATGTATGTATTGATATAGATGGAATTTTTTCTACATTTGCTTTCAAGAATTTGTAGTGTACAGAGAATTTCTAACATGCGTTTTATAAACTGCAATCGCGCGTCTTTCTATTTTAATTATATTACTAAGTGCGTTTTTCTCTTTTGCTTTACACAACACTGGCATTTATAACTGTAATTTGTATGCACGTTCTTGCTTGTGCACTTTTTCAAAAACACAAATGCAATATTTGCTCATATTTTCTGAATTTATTTTGTTTATATATATTGCACTTTTGTTTTATAATAATTGCAGGCGTCGTGTTTTAGTTTTGTTGTTTTGTATTTGGGCTTTTTAATGTAATTCTTTTGGCTGTTGGCGACTCGCGCAATAAACGCATCCACACTCGCCTGGTTCACGCACCGAACTGAAGACGAGAGCGCGTCGCTCTAGTTGTGGCCGCTCTTTTGTTGCTCGCCATTTCGAAAGCAGCAGCAGCAGCGACAGCGGCAGCGGCAATTGTTGCGAATTGTTGGGGTTGACGTATTGTGGAGCATTTAATATAACACGCGCGCGCCTGTTGGGGTTGCAACGGTTTGTTGTTCTTGCTGGTGATGGCAGAGCAAATAGACTCAAGCTTGCAAATCGATATATCGGCATGTGATGTCTTGCAAGAGCTGAGTGCTGTAGCACGCAGAGTATCAAATTAGCCCAACTAGCTAAGTGGACAAAAAGCTAAGCAAGCTTAATATCGTAAGAAACGTTTTTTTTTTAAATAATACGATAAAAACAAAATTGGTTTTCTGCAAAGACAAATAATTCAATTTTTACTCTGTTTTATATACAAAAATATTAATATTTATTATTTTTTTTGTTTGTATTTGTTTTTGTTTAGTTTACATTAAATCATGTATATAAGCGTACTTGTGAAATTATTGTTAAAAATCAATTCAAAAACTTAAAAACTGATTATTGCTTTAAAAAAAATAGACTACAATTAAAAAACTTAAAATGCTAAAAAAAAACTTGATTTCTTTTGTCTTCTTTTGTTATTCTTTCCATTTCAAGCCTTAAAAGTTATGAACACTATATTTTTAATTTAAACCTAACTTAAGTTAATCATTTTTTTTTACTGTTAACTTTTATTTTTTATTTATTTTTTTTCTGTTTTGCCATTAGGTTTTACATTTATATAATAATATATTATATATTATATTTAATTGAATAATTGATATATATGGGGGTTATATATACAGTATTGATTTGCTTAGCAAATTATGGCAGTCTAAAATATATGTAAATATATCTGAATTCAATTTTTTTGCCAATTATTTTTTTATAAATATATTCGAGTCAACTTAGTTAATTTTGTTTATGTTTATATAGTGTTAGTAATTATGTATATGAATGCCATATGAAAGCAATTGTCATTTGTTAATTGTTTATAATGAACCTCGACTTAGATTACTAATTTTAGTATATTAGTCAAATGTATATATGTATGCAGGCTATATTTGTGTTAGTTTTGTTAATACCTCACGCCATGTCTTTATGAATGTGTGTGTGTGCGTGTGTGTGTGAGTGTTTGCTGTACATTTCATCAGTTATAGCAAAGTCTAGTCTATATATATATATATATATATATGCACTTATAATGTATGCCATTCAAAAGTTTTTAAATAAATTACATCGGATCTCAGCTTGAAGTTGAGCGGAAAAAAAATATTTAACAAAATTTCTTAAGCAACAGTTCGAATTCATATTTTAACTTGCTTCTTCCTCTTCTTTTTAAATTATATAAATTTTTTTATAACATTACATAAATACAGTTTTTTTAAATAGGGATTAATTTTTTTTTAGCTTTTTTCCAAATCAAAATAAAAGTTTTTAAATGTTTTTGTTTTTTTTTTAAGCAACTTTTTACTTAATATAAATAATGATTATTTTTAATATATTTATATTTATTTTTTTATATATTTAAGCTAAAATTTTAAAACAAAAGCAAAAATTTCATTTAAACATTTAACTTTTTAGCTTGCTACTTGATTTAATATTATATTTTTTGTGCATTTTTTAAGCAACTAATTAACTTTCTTCTTAATTTTAAATAATTTATAATATATATGCTGTTTTTTTTTATATAATATATATGCATATTAGAAACACTTAACTTAAAATCTGTAAGGGCGGGTTTACACAGTGCGCAAGACAGAGAAAGAGAGAAGGGGCGAGGGCGAGGGCGAGGGCGAGGGCGAGAGGTAGAGCGCGAGCGAGACAGAGCAGCAGAGCTTAAGCACCGCTGCTGCCAGGATGCGCAGGATATATAGGCGTAAGCGGCGCTCGAGTAGACGAGCTGCTGCTGCTGCTGCTACTGTTGATGTTGGTGTTGCTAGCTGCTGCTGCCACATGCTGCTTCTTCTGCGGCTCCTCTTCCTCATCCTCATTGATATCCAGATCCGGCTTGTGACTAGAGGCTGGCGGCGTTAATAGACTTACGGGTGCTCGCAGCGCCGTCGCCGGCGAGGCCTGAGTGCGAGTGCGCATTTCATGCAATGCATTCTGTGCCATCAACAATTCATCCTAAAAGGAAATAAATAAATGTAATATTAGCATATGTTTCAAGTATAAATTGATATATAAATTTATATATATATATATGTATATATATATATATATATCTTTGTGATTTTCCAGTTACTTACATACATATCCATTGTGGTTGTGTGGGTTTGTATTATGTGCGAATCGTCGGTCACAATGCTGTTACAAATGTGGCCGAGTCCAAATTTATTTGTCACCTGCTCGTTCTGTTCATTCAGCATCAGGTAAGGCGCTCGCTTCGATATGACATGGAAGAAGGGCTCCATCCAACGGGCGCACGGCTGAATCGCTTCCCAATCGAGGCCAGAGCTGCGCAAAGCCGTTTCACTGAAAATAGGGAGAGAGGGAGATATTTAGTAAGTGAATTAATTTATTTTAAAAATTATTATAAACGAATAAAATATAAAAAAAAATTGAAGACAAATGAAAAAAAAAATACTTTAAAAAATTAAAAACTATTTTTAAAAATTCTAAAATAAATAATGAATTTTTTTCAAAGCCAAACTTCTTAGTTCTAAAGAGCAAAATCATTTTTGATTCAATAAAATATATAAAAATAAAAAAACAATTTTGGAATTTTAAAAATATTTTTAAGAATAAATGAAGTATTTTTTAATACAAAAAAATGAAAATAAAAAAAAAATAAAAATAATTTCTCATTTATTTATGTAAAATTTTCGCGAAGCTCAATTCACCGCGACAAGTGAAAAATAAGTGAAATTGCAGTTGTTATGCCCTAGCGAGCAAACAGAGTTAAGACTTACCGACTGAATGTATGACTCATGGCTGCTGCAGCCAATATTGAATATGGATAATTGGCCATGCCCACGTCGAGTGTGCACAGATCGAGCAGTTGTGATGTTTGGACAAACTCATAGGCCGAGAATTGCGGATAGATGAAGGCATCATCACAAGTTGACGCCGCTCCCGCTTGAGTTGTCGATCTCGCCTGCCTGCCAATCTGTGAGAATGCAGCTGGCGTGCGATTGCTGACATTAAGCTGCATATAGACGCCGAGCCAAGCGGTTGCCGTGATGGGGCAGATGTCCCAGTTGATTGCCTGCAGGAGCAGCTTCTCGTGCTGCAGTATGTCGCGTTCGGTGCAGGCGCCGTCTGTCACATAGGCGAACTCACATATTTTGGGCGGATAGATTTCCTCGACTTTGGCAGCGACAAACAGACAGGTGATGCCGAATAGCTGCAGATGGGTCTTCTGCACCTGTCGTGCGACATGCAAATACCGATCCAAGTAATCGACAGCCAAGTAGAAGGTTTCCCGATGCAATTTGTACACCTCGCACACCTCGATCAGCCAGTCGAGCAGGATGGCGCGCATGCGCGGCTGCAGGCCGGGATGGTGCTCGAGCATGCTGCTGCTGCGCAAATGCGAATCCTGTTCGTCGCGCAGGCACATCCGTTTCCACACTTCCGCCGCATTGGCCCAGGACAGCGAGGGCAGCGGACACTGGCGCAGCGGTATCTCTGCAGCAGGCGACAGGCATTTGTAGTTGGCGTATGCACTGGACTCGTCGAGTCCATTGAATTTCCTCAAAGCATTATTGCGACTGCTGCCATCGTTTGGATGCTGTGCCGCCGGCACGTGTTGCGTCGCTGGCGTTCGCTCGCCATTCTGACTGCAGCCGGTGGCTGTGGAGGAGGCGGGCGATGAGCTGGATGAATTGATGTCACCAATTGCGTCATCGGCATCGGCATCGTCATCGTCATCGTCATCCTCATCTTCTGGGTCCTCATCAAAGAAACTCTCCTCGTAGCTATCATCCAGCATCTCATCCTGGTGAGCAACAATATCTTCGCTCGCATAGCGCACCACCACCGGCTGCTGTTTGGCACCGCGATCCGGACTGGGCGGACTGTCTGGGCTATCGGGCAGTGGACTGTGCGGCGGCTGCTTCGGCAGCTCCGCAGCTGGCAAGCTGCGCAAGCTTAGCAGTTCCTGTGTAGCCGTCTCGCTGGTCGTCGTCGATGCCACTGGCGATGTGTACACCGGACCGGCGGACACAGCGGACTTTTTACTATCCTGATTCCTGCAACAAGCCGTGCTAACGTCAGCCAAACGCTGTTGACGCTTCGCTGATGGCGGTTCGCAGCCAAGTTCAGGATCCTGCAAGAGAAGCAAGACACAGTTAGAAAAATAAATGAATGAAAAAAAAATATATTTAATATATAAAAAATTATACTAAGAAAATAAATATATATGAGTATATAAAATAAAAACAAAATATATTTCTATATATAAACAATATATATTTAAAAAAAAAAATTATATATATATATATATATATAATTATAAATATAAAACAAAAACTAAAAATATACAATAAAATATTTAAAATAAATATGAATAATGATAAAATGATAGTAAAAAATAAATTGATAAAATAAATAATTATTATACAAAAAATAATAATATAAATATAATTTTTGTAATTGTAATTCTAAGAGACAGGAACAAAGAGGAAAGTATTTAAAACAGAATTTAGAATTGCTTTAACACATATTTTATAAATCAAGAAATGTATTTTGTATTTAAATACAATTTTTATATGATATGAAATAATATAAAAATATTGTAAATAAATCTTTAAGCAAAAAAAAAAAAAAAAAAAATAGTATATATATAAAAATAAAAATATAATAAAAAAAAATTAAAATAAATTTAATAAGCCAAAAATAAATCAATAGATTTAACTGATTTTCTGAATTTAAAATTTAAAAATTAAAAAAAAAGTCAAATATATATATATATGTATACATCTTCCAGAGTATCTTGCAGTGCAAAGGAAAACTTTTCGATTTCCTATAGATTTATAAATATATGAATTAATTTGTTTACCATTTCAATGAATTTTCGCTTCTGTTCCAACTTCATAATAACATTAACAACAATTTTGCAGAACTTATACCGAAACAAGGATCAGGGCTCAAGGCTCACACGCACAAGCTTATAAACGTAGCCAAAAGAAAAATGAAACGTGTCTCGAATTAATTAGCAGACACTGTGCCAGCCACAAAAGGATCCAGCACAAAATAATTGTGAAATTTATGTGGGCACGCCTGTCTGTCAGTCGTTTGGCTTTAATCCTAACTGTTGTCTACGAAAGGAACACCCGCACAATTTCAAAGGATATCTAGATGCTTTGTTTTTCCGGATCGTGGGAGAGTTTTGTGTGTGTGCGAAAGAGATAGAGCGAGAGAATTTATTCGTAGTTTATTGCACTTTAGCTATTTTATTGTAATTATAAATATTATTTTATTTGGTTGGTTTGCGTTCAGTTTCTTTGGTTTCAATTGTCAAGTGTTTCGTGGGCACTTAAAACATTTTATTTAATTTCTTCTTGTGTCTTTATCGCGATCTCTTGCAAAATCCGGTTCTTAAATTAGTTTCTTGCACTCGTTTTCAGTCTCCTCTGCTTGAGGTATTGTATGTATATATATGTTTCTTCTTTTTTTTTTTTCAACCGCTCTGCGCTTCGTAGTGTACCAAACGCGTTGACTTGCGCTGTGCAACTGAGCTGATCGAGGCTCGTTCCAGATCGCCGATCCCTGTTTCCCGATGCCCGAATCGTTAGCTACTTCGTTATCCTGCACGAGCAAACATTGCAACGGTTAATAATAGGGGTTGCAAACAGGATCGACAACTGAGCTCTCTCCCTCTCTCTGTCTGCCTCGCTAGCTTGCTGGCTCTTTCTTTATCTTGCGCTGCCTTCTCACCCTAACTCGCTCTCTCTCTCGCGCTCACACTCGAGCTCTGCTGCTAGTTTTTGTTTCTTGAGACGCTCTTCGTCTTGTTGTTGTTTTTGCATTGCAGTTTGCGTTTACGTCTGGGTGTTTATCAGCCCAAAATCCCTGTGACGGCTGCTGCTGCCGTTGATCCTTTTTACAATTAAGAATTTTTGTCAACTGGCCTCAGGTAGAGAGCTCAAGCGCAGAATCTCTACCTACTACTACCGTATTATCGCCTGCCTTATTTTTGGCTCGAGACAAGCAAGCTGCACTCTGGGCAAATGTCTTTCAATCTTTCGCTATCATAAATTATCTTTTGAACTTGTGTGAGGCGTTGCCAAAGCCAAAAACATCTAGAGCTACATTAATGGCAGCGAACCACAGCTCAAAGCGAAGATCAGCCAAGGATCTGCACCAGAAAGAGACTTGTGCCCAAGGAGAACAACTAGAACAATATAAATCTCTAAGATCTGAAACAGCTGGCCTTCTGCTTGACTTCGGCTTGGCGATCTTCATCAACTAAGATCATGTATATTTTTATATGACCTTTCTTCAAGTCAATTCGTAGTATAGCGAAGTAAGGCTAAGTAAGAAAAAGTTCTTCTGATTCCAAAAGCAGTAAAAGGAATTTTAATCTACTTCGATTTAAGGCTTTTGCCTTTGAGTTTGCTTAGCGTCATTTTCAAAGACCTTGACCTTGCTTCAAATATTAGCAAAAATTAATCAAAACTCAAATCAATTTTTCGGCTGAAAATTGTATTAAAATAATAGGAAAAAGTTTTTGTGCTTTTAAAATATATAAAAAATCCTGAAATTTCCACTTCTGCGCCTAAGGACAAAGGCAACATTTTTGATTGATCTTATGAGCACCACTAAAGATCACTAAAGATCAACTTCAGCTGCAGTTAAGAACTAATTCATTTTCGAAATGTTTTCAAAAATTTCATAAGATTTCTTGGCAAACAAACTGAAGAACTCGTTTAAATGCATTGTCAAGCCAATGCTTTAGCTCTGGCATAGCTAAAGTAGCTAGGCTCAAACCCCTAACACAATGAGAGAGTAAATCTCTACGAATTCCTCAACAAGCGTCAATCAAAAATCAGGGCCTGCCCTAATCTGACACCTCGTAAAAGCTTAACACAAAAATTTTCCTACAAATTTTGATTTTTCACATAATTTGTAAGAAAATAAGTTGAGGGAAAAGAAAATTGTTTACGATATTTATGTGACACATTTAATTGTTTGAGTAGGTTTGCCAAAACGAAGAAGAACAAGATGAACAGGGGAAAACTAAAGACAAGACCGGAGACAGAGGGCTAAATAATGAGCTGAGCAGAGCAGAGCAGAGCAGAGCAGGAAATGGGTCCAAGGCGCATGACAAATTTAATTTCTTACTTCTCTAACATAAAATGCAACAACCCTCATGCCGAATGCCGAATGCCGAATGCCAAATGGACGCATGTCATGCTTTGGCTAGGGTCTTGACGTAATTAAAATCAAAGCGTGCAATGGCATAAGAAATATGCACGCTGGACCAAGCCATAGCACCTCAAGTCTGCGTTCCGGCGAGACAAACAAAACATCTGTCGTTCTGGTCAAGCGTTTCTATGCTCGCTCACGTGGTGAAAGGTGGGTATATTGGTTTTAGGCAAGCTCTTAAAACATGTGACTATGCTAGGAATATATGGATATGGAATATATATGCTCCTAGACTGATGAAAAGGTTATATTGTTTGCTTATGCTCGTTTGCATGCTGCAAGAGGGGTATATTGGTTTTAAGCAATTAAACTCAGATTTTAAATTTGGATTACATATTCGAGTATATTCTTGCTAGAGACTTGAGAGCTTTTGAAATATATATGCTTAGGTATACCCTGCAATGATGAAATATTAATTTTATTATGGTTCATTACATTTGAGTTTCAATTTAATATATATATATATATATATTTGCATAGACCTAGCTTAACAAAGGCTTATTGAGTTTCTTTACCCATCGATTAAATATTTTAAATGCCAGCCACAGAAATAAAATCTATATGCACCCACTATATCTCTCTCAAGTGGGCGAATATAGATTTTTTATCCACCCACTGTATCTCTCTCAAGGTTAGCTAGCACCAACTCTACAGTTCGTGCTATTAAATCATATCAATATTTGTTATGTCAGTTTAATTTGCCAGCGTATCAGACAGTCAGTCAGTTTTCAGCCGTTTTTCGCTTGATTTCTTTGGCAAATAAAGATCAAATAAATATATTTCTCTACTCTGTGTGAACTTTCAAAGGCGAAAAGATTGCAATGATCCTTCGACTACTGACTGACTGCCTGACTGACTGACGGCTTGTGAAATTTAGTGAACTGTAAAGTGCTCGCGTTGAAGGTCTTTGTGGAAAAAGGGGTTGCGCTCAAGTTTAACAAGGGTTAAACTGTGCTGGCCCCCCCCCCACTCTACCCTATGCCCACAGCAAAAGCTGCCTCAAGATTTGCCGTTAGCAAATATGCATATACAAATATATATAAATTCCTATATATATGCTATGTATAGGCATTTCCAATTCCAGTTGCAGCTGCTGCTCTGAAGTAGCTGTGCTTCAAAGTTCTATGCAGCCCACTGAGTGCACCCAAAACAAGAGCTCGAAATAACAACTGGACGTCCGCAGCAGCAGCAGCAGCAGCAGTTGATGCAATTGACATCAAACACAAAATTGTCAAATGTCAAAACCTGGCAAAGATTTCAGCATCCATTGGCATTCAGCAGGCGCAGTTGTGCATTGCACTTGGACCCTTAAAAGTGCTCAGTGCCGAGCCTCGACTCCTGTGTCCCGAGTTCTGAGTCCTGTTTCGTAATCTTTCGTGCGCTCGCTTGTAAATACCGAAACACCTTTCCTTTTTTTTCTGCCGGCGTCGCCGCTTACCTTGGCGTGGGTCCAGGTGTAACTTTTATTGTTGTGTGTGTGTGTGTGTATGTGTGTAGTAGTAGTAGTAGGCATTGTCCTCTCTGTAGTTTCAGTTTTGTTGTTGTATTCCTTCGGGCCCCCCTGCACAAGTTTCTTTCATAACATTTTATATCGTATTTTTTTTTTCGTTTTCTTTTCTTCATTTGATAATTGTTAATATGTTGCAATGGGCAGCTGCTGAGCTGCTCGAGTGGCATGAGCTAAGTTGTGTTTCTTAGAAATTGTTCAAATATACATATATTATTTGACTAGCTGATATTTTGTTTGCCTTCAACTGTTTAGAGCCTTTTTTGCATCGGAATTGATAGTCTGCACAATTTCCGTTTCTTGTTATGAATTCATTTGCCTATCATTGCTTCAATAATCAATGTAATAATTGCAACTCAATAAGTTTGTAGTCTTGCTCAGTAAGTTTATCTAACTAGCTACTCTATTTACTATTCTGTACCTATCTACTCATCGAACATATTTCTATCAAACTATTTATCTATCAATCTACATATCTACTAATTTATGTATCTATCTATTAATCTATGTATCTATCTATCAATCTATCAATCAATTTAGCTATCTAGCTATCAATATATCTATCAATCTATCTATCAATCTATCAATCTATCAATCTACCAATCAATCTATCTATCAATCTATCAATCTACCAATCTATCAATCTATCTATCCATCTATTAATCTATGTATCTATCTATCAATCTATCAATCAATTTAGCTATCTAGCTATCAATATATCTATCAATCTATCTATCAATCTATCAATCTATCTATCTATCTATCTATCTATCTATCTATCTATCTATCTATCTATCAATCTATCAATCTATCTATATATATATCTATCAATCTATCTATCTATTAATCTATCTATAGATCTATTATATTTCTACTTTATCTAGCTACTCCATCGAAGTATCATCTACTTGTTTCTCAATTTTACCTATCTAGTACTTCATCTGTCTACTTTATCCATCTGCTCAATCTATTTATCTATCTTTATCTATGCTTTTTTTCATACACACGCTCTATCTAGCTTAAGCTCAGCTTGTCAATCATTTAGTTCTTTGTTTCAGAATTCAATGCGTTTTCCAACACTCAGCTTTACTAACGCTTCTTCAGTCATTCTGGCAATTTATCAGTTATCAGTGAGCCAACTAGTCATGCCAAGCTGATGTCAGTCTACCAGTCAGTAAGACAGTCTCTTAGCATATAATTCAGTAAGTCAGTCAATCAGTCAGTCACTCCATCAATCGGTCCGACATGCAAAGCAGCAAAATGACAAATTGTAGACACACTCTCACTCTGCCTCTCACCCTCCCTCTCCCTCTCTCTCTCCATTCCAAATTAGCCCAAAAGCCTGTCAAATTGTGCCAAACTTTGCTCGGACTTCATAACTTTATAAATGATTGTATAAGCAAGCCGCAGATATCCCAGAGGACAACTGGACAGTCGCACAATAACAAACACTCATATTTCGTGGCAATGAGACGAATAAGTGACCCTTGGCCAGCAGCGCATAAATGGAGAAAGGGGTTAAATGGCTATCATAGCTAGTTTTTCGCGGTTGTCCGCATGACTTGCACGAAATTTATCATCGGAGCACTTCATTATGACAATCTCAGTGTCCGAGTTAGAGTGAGAGCGAGAAAGTGAAGTGTCCTGTAATTAATCATGCAATTGCTATAGAGACTGCATGACCAAATGGATTAAGCAAAGGTCCTGCAGCCGCAATTGTTGCGGTAGTTACGCAAATTTTAAATGAATAGATAAATTGGAAAGTAATTTTGAATATATTACATAGGATTTAGCTACAGGGGCGCAGCAAAGACTAATGATAGAAAAGATATAGGAGGAACAAAGACGAAACTGCCATGCTTGAAGCTGCTCTGCTGTGATCAACAAATTTGGCTAATAGATCAGCATATAAATTACGCTCAAAAGAGCATGGCAACTGATCTTTAGTGGCTTTTAAAGCTGCTTTACAGCCCACTTATATAGGTCATAGTATATACATATATAATACTAATACAATAAAGTATGTATATATATATATACACATGTATATATTTTTGTTCGTGCTATACACAGTCGCTGTAGTGCCTGTCATAATTCCAATTCCATTCCAAGCATAAGCAGTAGATTAGATAAGCAATATCAGAGCTAGATCACAGGGCAGCTTGCGACAGCTGCTACGTGGACACAAGCAGACGTATTTATATATATATATATAAAGTGCTTTCTTAGAAAAAACAGTTAAGCATGCGATTTTAATTGAATTCATGTGTATAAATATATATTCAAATATATTGATATATTCAAAAATTCAAATATAACAAATATGAACATGAAATATGAATATGAAATATTAATATTAAAAAAAAAAATAATTTAAAATTATTAAATTTTATCGTATCTATATCTCATTCTTTTTTCTACTTGGCAAGTTTTCTTGTTGAGCTGCCCAAGCTAAATGCAATCCTCTTACAATTACAATTAACAAAAAAAATCAAAGGAAAACATGTCAAATTACAATCATTATTTCTGCTTGTCAGGCCCGAGCTGCGAGGCCCTGGGAAAGAATTGAATTGAATTGAAAATCAAGTTTATGTTTTCGCCTGACTTGACAGAAATCAAGCACAAGACAAGATCCTGCCAGCACTTGATTGTGGCCAAGGGCCCGCAGCGAGATACCCCCGAACGAAATTCTACTGAAAAAGCAAAGAAAAAACAATGTCGATTTCATGCTTACAGAAAAACAACAAAACAACAAAAAAAAAACAGCAAAAAAACAAAGTAAAATCTCTGCACATATCATGAACAAGAAAGGGGTTTGCATTACACTGACAAATTGGTAAAATAATACCATAATTCTTATCCTTTAAAACAAATATTGTATAATATTTCAAAAAGAAAGAAAGAGGAAGAGAAACCCTGAACCATAACGTCCCATAAGCAGATGACAGACTGTAGAGCAGTAGTTCCTGCCCCTCATCTTGTGCGATAAGCATGATTTGCATAAAACTTTAACGGAAATCTAATGAGCAGCAGGACGAGTGAGGACATTTGCATACAAGGATACGCCATGGCCTGGCATGGCTGTCCCAAATGTCGACTACTGCTTGAGACCGGTGTGATGCAACCATTTCTCAAACAGCCAAATGTCGTCTCGATGAATATATAATTAGATAGTGTGTTGCTTGAAAAGGTAAAGGATATAGAAGTGCAACCCCAAGCGGCCTCGTTCTTGTTGTGGTTAAGCGGCGCATCCCGTCTTGATCTCGTTGCCGGTCTTCACGCACGACATAACAGAGAGCCGAACCAAAACCTATAACTATTTTCAAAAAAAAAAAAACTTACTTCTTAACGGACTTTTCAGTTTGGCTAGGGCCTTGACTTCTCGAGGTCCTGTCGCGCAAACCCACCCCAAGTTGTACGTACGTCAAGGTGTGCGAGCTCGCGCATGCGCAACATTCTCAACTACCAACTTTCAACTTCGCCTGGTCTTTGTCCTTTCGTGCATATGCTCAACATATTGCAAGGAGCATTGGAATTCTTACTTAGTCCTGGCCCTGGGCACAGTAAATGACATTTGTTTTGCAGCCCATATCAAACATAAGCCGGGGGTAGAGCGAACTCGAATTGCGAAAATAAAATACCCAAGGCGCTTGATAACAAATTTTTTTGTTCCTTTTTCTGCAAGCTCAATTCAATTGCAGGCTGTCAGTCTTTTTTTCATTTAAAAAAAAAAAAATATATATATATATATATAAGTAAACAGCGCGCAAATATCCTTTGCATCAACACAGCTGCCCAGCACAGCGCGTTGTCTGTGCATTGTGCCAGGCTTTGATTGCAGCTACTTGAAAACACAGCACGTCCACACAGAAGCCAAGACACACACAGAGAGAGTAGGAGAGAGTGCATATTGCTATCTAGACACGGATACATATTGAGTCTAATGAGCCACTTCATAAGTGGCATTTATTTTTGGGCATTGTGTTTGCCTTTCGCAAGGATGCAGCCAAGTAAGTGCCAAGAGCTGAGTTGGTTCGTACGTGACTAACGTCTTGTTTGGCTAGCGATCAAAATGGTGGACATGAGCAACGTATTCTATATATATATACATATATATATCTAACTATATATCTACATGAAATGCAAATTTAAGCATCTAATTGAATAAACACCAAGCTGAGTGCAGCAAGAAAATAATCAAGATCAAGTCAAAAGCAAGAAATAGTATCAAACTCCTACGATTATTATTACGATCAATATTGCTGGCAATTAGCACATATTTAATTAGTTAAATAAAATACGATTTGTTCTATAGCACAATCCAGAAGTGTTTTAGCTTTTAGGCCTGTAGATCGATCAGTTAACGCTTACAGAACTCACACATAAATTATAGAAGATCGTAAGTTTTGCATGATCAAACAATATCTACATGAAATCATTCTATTTAAAAAAAAAAAAAACTTTTATCAATAAATATATAATTTGCTTAGCATTTGGCTAACTGTGGAAGCTAAGCACAATTATTAACTTTGATCGGTTTTAACATTTTATACTAATAATAATAAAGCAAAGATCACTTTTGAAATCGTCATAAAATGACGCATTAAATTGATTTCATATCATTTAAGAACTTTTCTATATGTAAAAGAATATATTCCCATTTCCTGCTCCACACAAAGTAGCAAATCGATGACCTAATGCTAATAATCAAAGTCTAAGCAAACAGAAAGCGCCAGAGTGACAAGATCATCAAATACTGTAGATCATAAAGCCAATTCATTCATATAAATATTGCACAGTGGTCGACAAGTTATATTAATACATAAGTTCAATAAAATGTTTATAATAAATAATAAAATAAAATAAAATTTACATAAATAAAAATTTAAAAATAAAATTAAATTAATAATAAAAATAAAAACAATTATTTAAAAAGAAAAATTGGAATTATTTGCAACTATAATTTTTAAAATGTATATATATATATATATATAAAGAAGTGATCATAGTGCATTGAATTAAGCATTTAGCTGATCATGCTCAAGATCGTTTGGGTCATTGACAAGCGCTTGGCATTTCCTTGATAAGCTTTGCCAGTGACAAGCATCAAGATTTATATATTCATATCACACTACATACACACATATGCACATATCTATATATATTCTAATTCATATATAAGTAAATAAGTAATAAATGCTTATCGCTGCCACTTACCTCAGGCAAAAATGAGTTCCGTTTTCGCTTGCGTTTGCCACCCACAAAGTTTCCAAATGCTGAATGCACTTTAGAAATTCTTTGAGGCTTATCCTGAAATTGGGATAGCAAATATAATGAATCATCTGTGGATGTTGTTGTTGTTGTTGTTGTTGTTGTTGCTAATGTTGTTGTTGCTCTTGCTTTTCCTACTGATGCTATCTGATATAATAAGCATAATGATGCTGATGCTGATGCTGATGCTGCTGCTCCGCTGCTGCTGGCGGGGGTGACAACGTGCTCTTGTTTCTCATTGCTGTTGCTATTGCTGCTGCTGCTGCTGCTGGTTGTGTTGGCACTGCAAAAAAAGAAAGAAACAAGAAAACCAACATGAAATAAATGAAAATTTTTGGCAAATGCCTGCGGGGGAAATTCAATGCCAATCAATCTAGAGAAAGAAAGATAGCGAAAAAGAAAGCGAGCACATACATAGGGGTCTGTGTCTGGGTTAGTCTAGCCTAGCATAAATTCATTGAAATTTTGACAGGCACCCATTGGCAACATGAATATTTAACATCCGGGAAATTGTAATCGAGAGGCTGGGAGCGACGCCTCAAACGACCCTTTTTCGGAAACTGATTTTCTTTCCATTCTGAAAATTAAGCAATTTTGGCAAATTTGCATGCACATTATGCATAATGCAAGAGGAAGTAACTATTCCTCGAGTACTACGGCTCCTTGGCAGATGTTTATCTCAACATTCAAGATAACGGCACTTCATGCAATTCGTTGCGCGAATTTTTTCAATTTTCTCTTTTTTTGCAATTTGAGAAGTTGCTTGTTGAACCCTTGAGAGCAGCTCACCTTGCAACTCTCAACAAAGATGTGCCAAAGGGGGTTTCTTAAAAGAAAGATTTAACAAATCTGAAGAGGAAATATTCACTTGAAGTTTGCTGCATAACTGAATACTCTATAAATATACTTAAATTTAATATGAATATTATTTTATTAAAATATATAATATAATATATGTATATATATTATTTTATAATATATCAAAACAATTCAAATATTTCAAAAATAAATATATACATTTTATTTACAATTTATATATTATTTTATTAAATATTTATATATATTTATATAATTATATATATATATATAAATATATATTTTTTTTTTGTTTAGTAATCAAACCAAAATAAAAATAGATATTTAGGATAAACCTAATTTTAGTCGATCTTGAGTTGATAAAACAAAAGGAAATGATTCATTTTCTGTTAAAAAATGCAGATTCAATAGAACTTTTCAATAGATAGTTGTAAAATATATAAATAGCAGGATTAGATCAAGACTAAAATTAAGCAAACACAAGTTCATATGGAACAGATCCATAGTTTGTCACATAATTACAATGCCCACAGCTAGAGTATAGCAAAGATTGTTAAGCGAAGGGCTGCTGCACATCAATTCAAATGCTAAGCCATTTTTCGTGGCCCAAAAAGGATCGGCAAAAAAGGCTTGTGTTTTGATGCGCTGCTCGCCCCTCGCTCCTCGCTCCTCTCCCCTTGCGCTTATCGATCGCGCTTAATGGTTAAATGAACAAGAAAAAGTAATCACGTAGTAAATTACAAGGAAATGGAATCGCTTAGAAATGAGTTATAGCCGCGAAAGAGACTTCCAAAGACAGCGGGGAAGGAGTAGTATAAAAAAGAGGTCTAAGGACTAATGGCTCGTACGTGCTGTCGACCGCACACACAACACTTTTACCTTTGCTTTCTTTTCATTTCTAATTTTTGTTTTTTAATTTTTTTTTGTCAACGTTGGGTCAGTAGGGTGCTCGTAGTTGGTTAAAGGTTCAAATCGAAGAAATTTGTCAGTTTCGTTCGCGGTGAAAGTTCATTCAATCTTGCACAGCGTGGAAAAATTTCGAGTTGCCATCTATTTTGATCCTTTCGACTGGGTGTGAAAGGTCTAGGTAGGCGAAGATACAGCGGCAGCTGTAGCATCTTAACGCATAAACATAAATGTCCTTGGCGAGCGGGAGCAGCCGAGCCAAGCTACTCAATATGACAGTCAAAGCAATGCGAAGACCTAGGTAAATACAAATCTCAAATATGCATGGCATATTGATTGCCAGCCAAGGGGAGGGATTGATGAGAAGGAAAGTGAAACCCTCTAAGAGTGCAACTAAAGGACATGCGTTGTCCTAGGAGAATCTTTGGTTCCCCTCACGTCTTTTCTCTTCTAAACATAAGTGAAGTATTCGTTTAGTTTATAGACAAATTCATAGAAAAACTCTCAACATTATGATTATGATCATATAAGGAGTATCATCATGCTTATCATCTCACGATCATCGTCAATATTATCATAAACTTACTCTCATTAAAATCCTAAGCAACAAATACCAAACTATTTTTAATATTTTTAAAAATATTTATCAATTTAATAAAAAATGTAAATATTTGATAAAATAAAAAAAAACCCAAATTTGCAAAATTTGCCACATAAATCATATATAGATTCATAGTTTTCCATGAGTAACTCTCAGAAGTATGCAACACTTCTTCACACACAGACATAACCTCACAAAATATACGAAAAATTTGATTGGCTTGATGATTAAGAGAATTCCGTTATAGTTTGTTTCGTGTGACATATTTTTTATAAAAATTCATTTTTTTTCCTGTTTTTGCGCAATTCATACCAATAATTATGTCGCACACATGTCTGACCACAAATTTGATGTGCATAAAATGGACTATCACTTAAGTGGATCGAAATGGAGTTACGAGTTGTGGGCTGTGAGTTGTGAGTTGTGAGTTGCGAGGGTCGCAACTGACAAAATTCCAAATGACTGGGCAATTATGCAATTATATTGAAGCGCGCACTGGACACTGGATGGGTTAGACCAGGAGGGGGTGGCTTACCCTATAGAGGGTGGCACTCAAGTCGGACAACTATGCAAACTCATTTAATTTGGTAGCGCAGCAAAAGCTGAAAAGCCACAAATTGCAGATGTGTGTGTGCGTGTGTGGACTATGACAACATTATCAATGATTGTCACACGAATAGATAGAGCCAGTCTGTCAGTCAGTCAGTCAATCAACCCCCACCTGGTCGATGCGTTCCTAAACACTTTTCTAATGACTTTTTCGCGCGCAATTATTTACTAATCACACGCAGGACTTTTGGGTGCCGGAATTTTTCATGTGTCCGCTGTGTAGCGGAATGCGCAGCGGTTGCGCCACTTGGTTATCAAATGTGACTCTCTTTTAACACCTACAACAGCTGCTGTTCGTCCTTTGGCAGTGAAAATGCATTTTAGATTATCGCACTTGGCTAGGGGCTACTGCGGGTAGTCGGCCATAACCAGACGTTTGCTCGCTCGGTCCCTCACTTTATAATTACGAAAATGTTATTAGATAAACATCATTGGGTTGCCTCTATTATAAGTGAACATAGCTTAGGTCTGTCTAGCAGGATAGTCTCCATCAGGCGGGCTTCAAGAAGGAAGTGTCTGTCGTTGTCGCCACAGGAAGTCAGTTAGAAATTACAAATAGAAATATATACTTATATATACATTCGATATTGGACATTTGTGTCTGCTGTGTTTTCAACTTTTTATGTGGGGTGTTAATTGGTTGGTTTGCTTCGAAGAGAAACAACGGAAGTCTAGAAGTCTAATGAATGCCGGAAGTGGGCAAATAACTTAAGAGAAATTTAATTAACTCAAGATCTTTTGCACATATTAAGATAGATAAGATAGACTATTCAAGTTATTTCAGTCTTTTCAATTTAGGAAAAAAAAGAACAAAATTATGCAATAAATATAAAAAATATGCTTATAATAAATACAGAAATATATACGAAAATGTTTAGCAAATTAATTCAATAGATAAAAAACGCCATAATAATAATTTATTGAACTCATAAAATAAAAAAATATTATTTATAATATTAAGAAAAATTATTTCATTTATAATAAACAACTATAAAAAAAATAGATCATGATTTATTAAATATTTCAAAATATAAAAAAAATATATATATAAATTATATATAAAAAAAAATACAAAAATGATATATTTTTAATATATATAATATACAAAAATGTGTATAAATAAGATAATACAATTATAATAATTATGAATAATTAATGAATAATTAATACAAATTATATTCTTTCTCGCAAGTCAACTTATGAAAAAAATATAGATAAAAAGTAAAAATGAAGCGAAAGACTTACCTCTTGGCATATAGATCCATAATTGTACGGCCTTGAAACGCCGTTGAAGTAATAAATTGAATATCAATTAAATTGTAACTCAAGTAGAACTGCCCGTTTAAGCAGAAACTGGAGTGTGGCTTATAGTAAAGGAACTGAAAGCAAATAAAAGAAAAAAATTAAACTTAAAATATAAAATAAAAAGAAAATGTAATTAAAATAAATGCATTCATAAACAATTCACTTAAAGAAACATCAAATGTAGCAGGCTATTAAAATTTACGATTTAGGAAACATCAAGGACCTTAGCAGTGTGGCGAACATATGAGACATTCGTCCAGCGCAGCATGTGGTCCAAGTCAATGTTTGGCCAAAAAGAGAAGAAAACACAAACAGGAATGGGAAAACCCAAAACAAATTTGTTTACGTGCATTCACGAAGGCGAACAACTAAAACTAAGACAAACATTTCTCACATCGAATAATTTCACTATTTTTCACATATCGTATTTTAGCCAAAAGACCAAAATAAATATTGAAAATTGAGTTTTATGATGATGTAAAAATGGACGTGCCTAGCCGAAAGATATTCAAATTACAAAACGGAACGACAGGGCACTTGGATTAGACAGGTAGTGGATAGTCATCATCAACGTCAACAGCGGATTTCCACGAGTCTCGATTAAGTGTGCACCAAAGACAGATGTAGAGACGCAGGGTTTTTCCTGCTGGCGTGTCAGGTGTTGGCCAAGCGACGCATGCGCCAACGTCCACATAGATGTTGTCTCTAGTGGAGGTTGTCTTTTTTGTTGTTGTACGATAAGGCATAATTATATCGAGCTCTAATATGGCAGAGATCAATGCACCTGTTGTTGTGGCTATTTGCCTTCTGCTGCTGCCGCTGCGACGGGGCAGGTGAATGGCCCAGTGGCAGCTGTTGAATAGTAGTTGGCACCCCTAGCTGCATATATTGAACCCTGCACAATGTTATGCAGGCTGCTTACTGCTGCTGCTGCTGCTGCTATTGCTACTAAAGGATTCCACGTGCTTGTGCATATACCCTGTACTTAAATTAAAGTGGGCTATATTAACTTTCAATTTTTCTTATATTGTTAGCCAATATCTATGCATTTTATATTCATTCTAACTGTCCAGAGCCTTTAAAAATATTACTTAGCTGCATTCGTAGCAACTATAACTATATTTGAAATTTTATAAACCCCTTCCCCTCTATGGATTTCTCTAAAAATTGGTATATAAAAATATTCGACTAACAACTACAAGTTCTAAAAAATGTGGCACATTCGAGCAGTAAATACGGCAGTTATTTAAAAACTCAGCTGACTTTCCTGCTCAGTTTTTGCTAGGGTACACTTTAGTCAAACAACTGCTATCAGTTTAGTTACTTTTTTATAGACACTACTTCTTTTCAATTCGTTGTAGTTGCAACTTCAATTGACTTCCCCTTGCGCTAATTGCTCCGCGCATTCGTATCCTGTCGCGTTTCCCTGTCTTACTACTGCTGCTGCTGCTGGTTCCTGTTTCGGCATTTCCTTAACATCATTATTGTTGTTGTTGTTGTTGCTGCTGCGTGACACATGGGCCTGGCGTCATTTTTGCCACGATTTATGTGCCCCTTTTGTTTGGCATTCACTTACGACACCTCAACCAGGATATAACTACCCCATTTTTACTGCTTTTTAGTTAACGACTTTCTCTTCTCCACGTTCGAATTTCTGCCCCGGTTCCTCCTTCTTCCCATCGTCTTTTCTTCCCATTTTCCATCGGTTATTTCTTTGCTTATTTCTTGGCCGCTTTTCCCTTTGCACAACAAAACATTTTTTGTTTCTTTTTTTTGCTTTTCTTTCTCGATTTCGAACCATCATTTTCACACTAATTGCGGATATGCCTACTAATTAATTGTTGCCTTTTACTTTTCTTCATTTTATGGCTATTTTTTTTTAGCAATTTCCAACCCTGATGTGAAAACCTCAACTATAAAAATATTTCTGCTTCTTTTTATAGAAAAATAAAAATTTTATATAGATTGACTGAGACTGAGCATTGATGTGGAAAATATTGCCAAAAACTTTGAGGCATACTTTGGGCATATAATAAAAATATATAGCTTTAATCAATTTGTACAGATGAGTCATGAGTTGAACTCTTAATAGAACTCAGATATAATATAAATTTGATTAAGTCTATATATTTTATAACAGCTATTTTATGTTAAAAAATATGTAGAAAAATATAAAAAATATAATAATTAAAATAAGAACAATTCAAATTAAACTCTAAAGTGATCTACACTACTTTTTTTTTTTAATATATATTTTTTATATATAATTTATATTTTTGTATTGTTCAGTTGAAATCTGTTTCTCAAAGATCGTATGAACTGACGATCAATATTAGATGACATATCTATCCGTTTAGCACTATGTAAAACGATCATTCACAAAAATGTTTATATAGATCGCATTCGATTTATTTAGATCGCATTTGAGCATAAGAGTTTACAGCATAAGCAAACAAAGATATAAAGATACATAGCTCACAACTCACGTTCTTCAAAAATGACCATGGAAGGTCATAGATACATTTTACATTTTACATTTTATAGCTCTCTCATTAAACTAATAATTAGTCACATAAAAAATTCTTGTGATCATCTAACTTTCCCTAAACTCTCTAACTATTGATGGCTTCAATTTATCAACAGTTATCGTGTTAACCATCTCTGAAGAGCATGTAGATCGCTGGATAAATATAAATAACTTGTTTAGTTTCTCGGAAAAGGCAGCCAAGTATAAATCGCAGCGACTAACATTAATAAATGACTTACTAATTGCAAACGTCAATCAACTGGCCACACACTCGGTAAGTCCTGCAACTAGGACACAGTAGAGCTAATGAAGATAAAGCTGTTAGTTAAGAGAGCTGCGAGCTCGATGAGATTTAGCGAGAATTATTACAGCGACAGGTATACAAATATAGATATAGATATCTATATATATATATATAGTTATGTATGTAGTTGCTAGAGAGCGTACGGAATTGGGAGGAGTAGAACATGAAAGGCGCTATGCTGCTTCCCAGGGCCTAATTAGACGCTGCATGAGTAAATTGTTTACCTGGAGGCCAAGGTCAACAGCAACAACAATGAGCTGCGAACGGATTTAACTGGAATTGTTTTTCGAGGAGGAAGCAAAAAAAATTTGTTGTAGTTCTACTATTCATATTTATATTTGTTTGAATACATGCCTGTGTGTGTGTATGTGCGCGTGTAAGTGTGTATTTGTGCAACACACAATTTCCCACAAGGAAATGAAAAAGATACTCAAAACTCGAGTTGCCAGTTAAGGTTAAAAGCAAACCAAACAAAAATGCGCAAAATGTGCTAAGAGAGCGCCAGACAGAGAGAGTGAGAGAGAGAGCGCGATAAATAGAGAGCGAGATAAACAGAAAAACAGGTCCCTGGTTTGTGAACCCTGGACGCATGGCCCTGGTCTCTGGTCTCTGGTCTCTGGTCCCTTTGCCGAATTCCGAGACGCGTCTACCGTCTACTTCTTCTGTCTGCATACTGCAATTTTTTTGTTGTTGTTTTTTTTTGTACGTCCTTTTTCGGTGTGTATGCCCAGCGCATGTGTGTGTGTGTGTGTATAAATGTGTATCTGTGTGTGTGTGAGTTGTTTGTCGTGTTGTGGTTGCTGTTGCTGTTGCATGCATTTTGGGCTGCGCTTGCACAAGGAGAAAAGATACATTCCTGAGATACTCAAGATAACTGCGCACATATATAGTACATATGATACATATACATACCTATATATATTGTATATTGTGTCTTGCATATTGCATGTGTGTATTATATGCATCTGTAACACGAATTGTCTGAATAGTCTGGATTGTCAATGCCAATGCGTTCGCTCCTTGTGGTCGCCTGAGCGCTTACTGCAATTAGTGGGAACTCTAAGTGCCTGCACAGTGGGTCAAATCGCACGCACCACTCAAATTTTATTATATAATATTAGCTGCTCAAAATATTATATTATGCCAGAGTTAATTACTTTTACACAAAATATTGTATGCTTTCCCTCAAGAGCTCTTGGCAATGCATTCGCTAATACTCGTTAGCCTTTACAGTGGTACACTGGCTAAGATTTAGATATGTTCTTGAGATGTGTTAATCAGATAATGCGCTAATTTAGTTTCGTTATTGAAGAGTGATTATCAGGTGCTATCATGATATATGGCCATGTGAATTGGGGAGAAATAGAAGAGGGATAGCGCACACGTGGCGATATCATAAGTGTACTTACATCTGTATCTCTATATGTATCTGTATATGTGTGTGTCAATTTGGCTGTATCTGTATCTGCAAATGTTGCTATATCTGCATCTGTATACAAATATATATCTATATATTCATGAGCATCTGTAAATGTATCTGTACTTGGCTATATATCTATATAAGCATGTGCAGCTCTATATGTATCTGTATCTGTATCTGTATCAGTTAATGTATTTCTATCTGAATCTATATATATATATATCTTTCAATGGTTTTATAAATATAACTGAATCTATATATATATATCTTTCAATGGTTTTATAAATATAACTGAAATTGTATTTGTATCTGAAGCAGTATAGGTATCTGTAGTGGAATATGTAAAAGTATCTGTATCTGTATCTGTATCTGCATCTGAATGGGTATATGCATGCGTATCTGTAGATATATCTTTATATATCTCTCAAAGCATCTCCATCAGATACGTGTTTATCTATATTAGTGTTAATGTATCTATATAACTGCAATGTATCTGTATCTGCATATGCATATGCATCTGTAGCTAAATCTAGAAATGTGAATGCATCTAAGGCCATTGAGTGCAGCGCGGTGCGTGTGAAAGTAACCAACAAAGACGACCAAATCAAAAGCAAAAACGAAAGACAAAAACCAATACATGAAATAAGTTCTTCAATGGGCGAAGCCGTTCCAGGAATTGCCGGCCTTGAAGTAGCCGTTAGGCCAGGGTCCAGGCCGACGGCGCAGACCCGACGATGCGCTCAATTGATTATTTAGTTTATATTTAGCAGCAGTCGCTTAAAAGGATGCGACTGCTTCAAGTGGCCGTCACATACTATATATCCACATATCCGTCTGACTATATTGTTCGCTTGCTCTCACTCTCTCGCTCTCGCTCTCGCTCTCGCTCTCTCTCCACGATCCTTTTGTGTGTTTGCACGAGAATAACTGGAAACTGTTTATCATTGTTGTTTCTGCTTTCGACTGCCCTTTCAACAACAACAACACAGTCCCCACTTGGTAAACACACACACACACACATTGCTGGGGCTTCGTCTCAGCTTCATATTCATTGCAACATTTGCAGCGACAAAAAAATAAACACGTATATAAAAAACGTCGTCAGACAATGAAAAATGCTTTCGATAAACCTATATGAGATAGTCACGATCCTATTTAATATTTGTAGGTTCACTATCCTAACTGCCCCTCTCTTTCCATCGCCCTCGCTCTCGCCCTCTCTCTTTTTCTCGCTCTGTATAAATAATTGAGAATTATTTTTACTTGGAATTTTCTTTTAGGCCAAATGTGGGCAGGTGATATTTGAAAATATAATAAATGGGTTTAATATGTGAAGATACATTTCGTTGTTTGATTTTGTGCCGCATCACTTGAGCAACAGTCTAACACAAGTGTTAGATCAAACAGTATCGAAAGCACCTCACATCCATCAGATGAGAAATATGAAAATTGTTCATCAAATTTTACAAGAATTTCCGTTGAAATCAAATTAATTTTCATATTTGAGTGAAGTTCGACTAACTTGTAGCTAAAAATTATTTTTACATAATATTATATATATTCAGGACTTTTGTTTCAATAAATATAATCTATTTAACACAATTGCTTCATCTCTAATACTTTATTTACTTTTTAATATTAATTTTTATTTTTATTTTTTTAATATTTTTAAACATTTTTTTTTTATTTTATTACTGTGAGTTTTTTTTGTAATTGTGTTATTTATTTCATTTTAAAAATTTGTTGAAAAGTCGATTAGTATTTTAAATTTTTTTTTAAATTAAAAATAAAAAGGAAATTATTGAAATGAAATGAAAAAAAAAATGGAAATCTTAAAAAAAAAAACAAATATGTGAAAAATATAAACCAGCAAAACATATTTTGCAATAATTTTTTTTAAATTAATTTAATAATGTAAGAAGAATTAATATGTTTGTTTGGAATATATTTGAAAAACTACATAATTTGTAATTAAGCTTAGCATATTTTTTTTAACATTTGCAAATTTACAATATTTTTTTATTTAAATAATTTATTTTTTTTATTATTTTTTTATTTTCATGTAAACTTTTCTTAAATTAACTTTTCGTTAAAAACCTCATCTATGTTATCTCATTAAGATGATGATGCTGATAAAAAACATGTGTATTACAAGCTGATGACACAACTACCAGATCCCCCTGTCCCATGCCTCGTCATGCTCATCTTTATCTATAGCCAGTTTTGCACAGGTGCCCCTCTCCCCCTCCCCACACAGCATCCCATGCAAGAAAGATGAAAAAATAAACAAGTATTTTGCAAAAAAAAATAAAAAAAAATTAAATAAAACAACGCAGCACATCGAGAAAACGTCAAATTATAAAAGCAAAACGCAAAAAGCCCCAAGAAAAAAACAACAAATTTAAAAAGAGCGAAATATAATAAGCAACTACAAGAGCTAACAAAAAGAAAGTCGCAAAACAATGAGCAAATTGTAACATGTAAATTGAAACAAGCAGCAAAAGCCAAATAATACAAGACTGCTAAAGCACATTAAGAACAACATCACACACACACTGGCAGCCATACACACACATTCCCACACATAAATATCAATGAACCCTACAACCGCCGTCGCCGCGTTCGTAGCAGTCGCAACAATGTTGAGGCTTAGACCCCCAAGCGTCACCTGACCGACCGAAGGCCTCCCCTTCTCTTCGGTCTAGGAGCCGACCACGTACTACCAACCGATTTTGCGCCACTTTTGACATAATTCAGTTTCTTATGTCTCTTTCTTTTCGTCTGTTACTCTTTCTGCGTTACGCTTTGTGCTATAGCTTCGCTTTCGTCAAGTTTTCAAAAGGTTCGGTGTTTTTTTCTTCCAACTTTTCACTTCGGCGCATTCTCAAAAGCACACAGCGCAATGCGCAGCGCTGCGAGGCTCTGCTTGCGTCGACTGAGGCAAAAAAGTTTTTGTTTCTTGTTGTTGTACCGAGAATGGTGAAAGAAAAAGTGGAAGCAGAGAATTGCGCCAGCGTTGACAGCGACTGCGACTACGGCTGAGGTTTTCTGATTGGAATAAAACGGAAGAGCACATTTCATAGTATGCGTGCAACCACGAGAGAGAAATCGGTCCCCTTTGACAGAGAGAGGAACAGTATGTGTTCGCGTATGGGTGTGTGTGTCATTGGTTGGGGGGAACACAAATAAGTGGCGCGAATTGGGCGTTTGGTTGGCGCATTTTTTTACCGCCCAAAATCTATTCAATTGGCGGGAAAAGTGCAATACCATTAAATATATATGCGAACTGATTAGAAAGTGGCGGCCGTGCGTTAAGTGATTACCAATCAGAGCTGAAAAGTTATAAAATAAGCGAAGGTTACCAATTCGAATTCTAATTCCAATTTCATGTCCAATTGGGTTCAACTCTATAGGTATGCAACAATAAGAATATGCAGCAGTTCACAGTTCAGTGAACCTAGCTTTAATCCTAATAGGCATCCAACAATAATTCATTTCAATTGGCAACCTGCTCGCTCATATGAGCATTAACATCTTTCAACCGGAATGTAACGGTTATCGTTGTCTGTAATGGACAGACGGCTGCCAGCGTGCAAATTCTAATACGACGAACTTTTGGCAATCGTTTCCAACTAATGAATATATATTTCTTTTTAATGTGAGGCTGCCTTGCTACCTTGTAGTTGTAGCAAAAAATGCAAAGACACGACGACACACTCGCACACACACTTAACACACTCGCACACGCTTGCACACGAGCAGCATTCGCTATATATCTCACACTTGTCACACGCGTAATTTTTTACACATCAAATTTTTCGGTTCCAATTCGTTCGCATTTGGGGCGTAGCTTTTCTTATATCTTTACCTGTAATTTGCTGAATGCTAGATGCCAGAAGATTTGTAATTGGCAATAGAATATATATATATATTATTTGCACATGAAAAAATCTATATTTTTTCTTTTTTGCTATACGTCGTCACACGCCGGCCACGAACATCAGCAGCTGAGCAGTGATCGGTCTAAACACAGTTCTCGCAACTCAAGACTCACCGAAAGAGCGAACAAAAAGCTATGGAAAGAGCGAACACGGCGAGCACGGCGTCGACGTCAGCAGAGAGAGAGTCAGTCAGTGAAGCAACTGAGTATGTGTTTGTCCATGAGTGTGTGTGTGTGCAAGCGAGACGAGCTAGCCCAATGCAACAAACACACGGCTACAAGTGTTGGCCGTTGTTGTTTTTTTTGGTAGACCAACTGACATTTAACAAAAAGACACGAAGAGCGAGAGAGAGCGGAACAAGCACGCATCTGGCGCGCGAAAAAAAATATTGCCAGCATAGCAGGGGCAACATTTTTTATGAAATGCGTGTGGCTTCGACGATTGCAGAAGCTGCCAGACCCCCGCTACATCCCTCAGCATCAGTCAATGCTGGAGCCTGTTGGTATTTTACTGAATGGATTGACGCTCCTTGTGAGCCGCCAACGAGCAGGCCGATTATGACAAGTGTGTGCGTGTGTATGTGTGTATGTGAGCAACAGCTGTTTTGTGGCGCTCATTTAACGGGCGTTGCGCGGGCTACAGCTGTTAAAGCTGCCACCTGGGCTGAGGAAGATATGACATTCAGGCCAAAAATATGTTAATTAACATATTTGTATGTCCAAATAATTAGTTTTCACAAATTTGACTTGAAAAATTGCACTTAATTTTTTAATTCATCAAAAAGTTCAATAATAGTTATGCATTGCATCAACAAATACTAGTTTTCATTTAAAGTGCACTTTATGCACCTATCATATATAGAAAATATGCGAAAAATGCTCTAAGCGCTTGTATTTGGGTCAATTCTCTGTCTGTTTACATTTACACACATTGCACACTTTCAGTCTGACTAACTGCTGGCAACGCTGCACACATACAAACAAAACGCCGCAACTTTGTTGTTTTGCGCGCGTGAAATTTGGTTGTTTTTGGTATCAAGTTTGCTGGCTTCCAGCAATGTATTTCTAAATGAAAACCTATGCTTGTCCATATGCATTCGATTGAGAAAAACACATAGAATCTAATTTGATAAAGTCCGCAAAAATCATGGCAAATTTGGGAGAGTTATGAATGAACAAAGTTGTAAATTTCCCGCGCGCGGGAAGCTACGTCTCTCTTTTTTTCTCTCTCTCAACTCAAAATGACAGCTGAGCGAGCGGCTTCTAGGAGAGCGACGTTGACAGCGACGCCAACATCAGCGCTGATGGCAACCACAATTTTTTCTTCTTCTTTTTTCCACAGAACACAAGGCAAGGGCAAAAAAAAATTCAAAACCAATTTTTTTGGACTAAAAGCAACGGCATCGCATGTGTAGGAAAAATATAAGCAAAAGAGAATTAAATTATGTACGTAGCCAAAACGGAGCTTTGAACTTGTCTAGCGGACACTACTGCTGCTGCTGATCACTCACCTGTTCCGGATGAAGACTTTCTGCGTTGGTGTTGTGGTTATTGTTGTGGATAATATTGTTGCATTTGGGGTTGGTTATGTCTATAGCCACGCGCGCACTTGGCACTTAGCACTTGGGTGTACTCCAATGCGCTCCACGCTAATAAAATTTTACGAATTGTACACACACAACATACACACACATGAACACACCGTGCGGGGCTTAGTATTTTCTTATATATAATTTTTTATTGTTGGTTTTGCCACACACACCGGCACACGCTCCAGTCAAGGCCAATTGCGGTCAAGATCTATTACACGCCTGTGTTTAGCAAGTGTGTGTGCGTGTGTGTTCTTTTGGGCGCAGTTGGATCGCAGGACTACCAAAAAATTATATTAGTTTACGCAAAGTCAAGTGAACTGCGCCGTCGCCGTCGCAAAGTGAAAGAGAGTAAAGCGATAACAAAGAGTATTTCTATAGAGAGGAACAGTTACACTCCGCTGACTCATGAATACCGATGATTTTATTGCCATTCGCAGGGAACGACTGTAAACATTGATTGCCACGCGAACAGTTGACTAAATTCAAATTTAATTTATTTGCGGTTAAACAATGCACATAACGATTAATAATTTTTGAAACATTTCACTTGAATTATGATAAGCTTTATAGGCTTAACAAAAGCGACGACTACAGTGCCGGATGCAAATTAAATTTATTAAATAGCTTGCTAATTCCTTTTTATTGTTAACATAAAACAAAATTTAGTCTTCTTTTTACTTTTCTTCGCTGTTTTACCCACTTAACTGGGTCATTAGATAAGAAATATTTTTTTTAATAATGAATTTCTTTGTTTTTGTTTTATTCTGACAAAAATTAATCATTTTCAAACGTTAGTACGCGCGCGAATATGCTTTAAATTGTATTTATTATTTACAAATAAATAAAACAAGCTAATTTTATTTTGTTTTAATACTTTAGAAGTCGAAAATGACAATAAAAGAAAATCTGCGATAGTAACAAATGGAGCGCAGCTGCTGAAAAGTGCCGAAACAGCGTTTGAGCAATAAAATTTAAAAAAAATTTAATAAAATGCAAAACGCAGCAGTATGAGAATGTAATTATATGATAAAGTCGAATTTTGAATACCCTTTCAGAGAAGATAAATAAATTTATAAGTACATTACTATCTATTGTGTATTCATAGCAAACGTCATTAAAGTTTTGTAAACATTTTTTCAAACGAAAATATAAAAATATAAAATAATATAGATTATGTTACTTGTGAAAAAATTAATTACTCTGAATCTTGATACTCTTACAGCGATGATACGCACTTACATACTTTAATACCCTCACAGGGCACCATAAATCAGAAAACAGTGGCCATTCACACCGCTCCATACACTAAGATTTATATATGTATATGCACATGTGTGTGATGTTGTTCCATGTTTATTTAGAATTGAGTTTTTCATTTTTGGCTAACATTAATTTTAAAAAACGTTTCAAACGGAGTTTCTGCAGCTTAGATGGGCGATTGCTTGAAGCCACGCACCGCATAGTCCGACGGTGCCGAGCGATCGGAGAGACGGGGAAAGCCTTCGTCGCCGGGTACACAAGCCTTGCGAGAGGATATCACACGCCAGCCGCCCTTACGCGTCCAATCCTGTCAAGAAACACATAAAAGAAGAAAGTAGCGACCAGCACTGTCACCGACACACTTACATTTTGATTGTATTTGAAATAGTAAGCAATGCTGTAGATTCCAGTTAAAGCAAGCAGCGCTTTTCCCGTCCAATAACGCACGGTGTAGGCACGCTGGAAGCCCTGCAAGAGATTGCCAACGAAATCAATTGGATTTTTTCGATTACATAACAACAAATAATGCACGCACCAGAGCGGGCGTCAGTGCTTTGCACACCATATCCAATGGTGCACGGTAGATGCGCTTGATGGGATTGTTCAGCTCCAATTCGAGGGCGGGAACCTTGCGCGGACCGTGGTGCAGTTCCTGATCTTTCAGCCATTGTTTGCGCCAGGCCCGCTCATCGGGCGTCATGCCGATGAGGCGCTCGCGTTCGCGCACCATGCGCCCCGCTATGGACATGGGCTTAACGCCGCCCGTATCTGATGCGCCACCAGCAACCATATTTGTACGTTTTTTATTCAAGCTAAAATATAGGAATGTTCGTCAAAATGCGCAGCTCGAGAAATGTTGTAGCAAATACGAACCGATGAAAAAACGAAAACAGCTGGGCAAAGTGTCATTCAACGCGAAGCGCCGTCATTCAACGTTTAACGCAAACATTTTGACTTGTGGTAATCGAGTATTTTATTCCCCAACTTGTGATTGCGCTAGTCGAGTATTTTTTCCCCAATTTGTGATTGGGCTGATCGAGTATTTTATTCCCCAGGGTGTGATTGTACTACTCAAGCACTTTATTCCCAGATGAGTGGGGAGTGCATTAAAACTATTTTTTAGTACATCCTCCTATTTGTTGAACTAAAATATGGGATTATAAAAAATTGTGGTCGGAGAAATTACATTTATAATGTTCCCAGTATTTCTTCGCGAGCTAAAATAATATGAAATGTGGTAAGGTAAGGTAGTTGGAGAGGCTAAGTAATTTGACACGACTTAATGGTCTAATTGGATCTCCCCGTAAAGTTGGGAAATATTGAATAAAAGGAGGGGCGAGTAATAGTTACCACTATTTATTCTGATGGGCAGCACTGTCGGCCACGATAAAATAATATCGTTGAGGGGTATTAAAGACGATCTAAATATGCAAACCGGAAAGAAGAAAAAAATGGGAAAAGCTTATTTAAATATGAAAAAGACAAAAATAAGCGAAATACTTTGTAATTAGAAATACCAATTAAATAAATATACAGTAAATGGCTAATATGAAACTATGAAGCCATTATATGGTTTATATATTTTTACTATTCAAAACTATTTTTACTATTCAATACTATTTTTACTATTCAATATTATGCCTGATCTGTAGGTTCGATAAATTAAGCTTACGATAAGCTAAGCTATCGATATTTGATATGCAACGATACTGTTGTACTTTGCACATCACTAAAGCACAAACGTGCAGCGCCGTTGGCCACAAAACTGTGTTTTTATTTGTTTTCTAGTTATTTACAAGCAATATATTTACCTCTCGATAAAGTTGCCGCTTTGATAGCCCATGTTCCGGTAAGTGTCGCCATTTACAATTGATAACGTCAATTGTATTACAAATAAACAAACAAAGGCGGGCTAACAACGTTTTTTTGCAGTAAAAACTGCGCAAAATGGAATCGAAATACCTGATAAATGGCAATGGTAATGGCAATATGAGTTTGACCTCGACTTTCGCTGTCAAGCGTAAAATTGAACCAATGAAAGAGCAGAATTGCATCAAGAAACCCAACTACAGTCCGATCAATAATAAAAATTTGCTTGGCAACAAGCGGAACTGCATCGACCAGGAGCGCAAAGCGTTGCCCGTTTATCACTGCAGACAGCGCATACTCAAGGAGCTGGAGGGCAATGATACACTGCTAATCATGGGTGAGACGGGCTCTGGCAAAACAACGCAAATACCACAATTCCTGCTGCAAGCAGGCTATGCCAATAGCGGCATCATAGGAATCACACAGCCAAGACGCGTGGCCGCAATAACAATAGCCAAACGTGTCGCCCAGGAGCTGGCGAGCAATGTGGGCGACACGGTGGGCTATACGGTACGCTTTGAGGATACGACAACGGACAGGACACGCATACGCTATCTGACCGACGGCATACTCCTAAGAGAAGCGATAGCGGATCGTCTACTGCGTCGCTATGCCGTCATCATGCTGGATGAGGCGCACGAGCGCACAGTGAATGCAGATCTGCTGTTTGGCATTGTCAAGGAGGCGCAGCAGGAGCGACGCAAACACAAACTGACCAAGCTGAAGCTAGTGATTACCTCCGCCACGATGGACATCGATCACTTTGGCAAATACTTCAATGTGAAGGGCATGTACCTGGAGGGTCGGACACATCCGGTGCGTGTGCTGCACGCCAAGGAGCCGCAGGAGGACTATATACATGCAGCGCTAGTCACTCTGTTCGATATTCATCGGCACGAGCCCATAAACCATGATGTGCTCATATTTCTAACTGGTCAAGAAGAGATCGAGGCATTGGCCCAACAGATCCGTCAGCTGGCGAGAATCAACAATTCGGGCCCCTCGGATGTGCGCGTGTTCACACTCTATGCCCAGCTGGCGCAGAGCAAGCAGTTGGAATGCTTCCTGCCAGTTCCAGCGAATACACGCAAAATTGTGTTGGCCACGAATATAGCAGAGACTTCGATTACCATTCCGGGCATAAGATGCGTCATCGACTGTGGCTACGTGAAGGAGAAGTCCTTCAATGCCAGCTCCGGCCTGGATCTGTTAAAGACTGTGCGCATCTCACAGGCTCAGGCCTGGCAGCGCAGCGGACGTGCCGGACGCGATGCACCGGGTCTCTGCTATCGCATCTACACGAAGGGCAACATGGAGAAGTTTCGTCTCGCTGCACAGCCCGAAATATTGCGTGCGAATCTAACTGCCACAGTGCTGCAGTTGCTCGCGCTGGGCATCGATTGTGCCAGCTTCGATTTCATAGATAAGCCGCCGGCGGAGGGCGTGGAGAGCGCCTACAAAGCTCTCGAGCAACTGGGCGCCATTAAGGCGGGTAGCATAACGACAACGGGTCGCTGGATGGCTCAGTTTCCATTGGATCCACGATATGCCAAGCTGCTGCTGGCGGCGCCCACATTTGGCTGCATGGAGGAGATGCTCAGTCTGGTCGCTGCGTTGTCCAGCGACAACGTGTTCATTGGCCATGCGGATAAAAGCGAACTGGCTGCCCTGGCACATGCAAAGTTCCAATCGAAGCATGGCGATCATCTCACCCTGCTCAACGTTTTCGCCACCTTCCAGAAGACGGAAAAGCCCAAGATCTGGTGTCACGATAATTTCCTAAATATTCGCAATCTTAACTATGCGCGCAATGTGCGCAATCAGCTGGCCGAGATTAGCGCCAGGCTAAACCTGGCACTCAACAGTTGCGGCGACAACATGGACGCCGTCAAGAAGTGCTTGCTGACAGGTTTATTTGACAACATCGCTCTGCTCCAGAAGGAGGGCCACTACCTAACACTGAGTGGGCGCGTCAAGGCCAAGATACACCCGTCGAGTGTCCTGCATGGCAAATACAAGCCGCAGTGCATCCTCTTCACGGAGCTCGTGCAAACGGAGCACAATTTCCTGCGGCAGGTCACAGAGATCAGCATCGATTGGATCGAGGAGATCGTGCCATCCATCAAGTGTATCCTCAAATGAACTTCCACTTGATATGCTTCATACGATTCACACAAAATACAAAGAAAACAAAAACAAAAGTTATGTTTCTATAAAAAATTGTTTTTAGACTGTTTTTTTTTTTAATATATAAAAAATGTATTCCTAAAGCTGACTTTTCTTGCGGGTGGCGACAAATCGGTTTAGGGCTACAGTGTTCGCTCGAGTTAAAGAAAACTAAATTTGTCTTTAAGTAACTTAAAAAATCTACTGAATCTTGAAGTTTTGTTTTATAATTTTTAATTAGAATTTGAATTTAATTCAAGCTTCCCCAGCTACAGTGTTGCCTCGAAATGAGCGACTCTAGCTGACTTGATATTGTCAAATAAAATAACAAAGGCATTTATTTTTCTTGATTTTTTCGAATTGTTTTTAACATATTAAAAATATGCATATATATATTGTATATTTTTTATATATTTCGTTACATATATATGTATATTCACATTAAGATTGCACAGAGAATGAAATGTTTAAACAAACGATAATTTTATATATATAAATATATTGTGAATATTGCCTTTAAGTACTGAAAAACAATGGAATCAAAGAACATAATTTTTTTAACAGAAACTATCCACATTTATCAGTCTATATGTACATATGCATGTGTGTGGGTGTGGGTGTGTGGGCGTGTATTGGTGTTCTAGAGATGTCCGTGCATTGGGGATTCGCGCAAGTAAACGGGACTGCTGAAGGATTTGCCAGCCACAAGCTCTTCGAGATTCTCGCCCGCATAGCTAACAAATGGCGAAATCTCACAAATGTCACCGTGAACAGTGCCGCCGGCGTTCTCTATGTATTTGCGATGCAAGCGATGGAGGTCATCGCGTGCTGTGCTTGGGCAGTCCTTGCCAGCCGAATCGGCATTCTTGAGGGCACTGAACTCCTCGTCACGTGGCACTTCCATTGCCACAAACTTTTCAGCAAATTCGAAGACATCGAAAACGAATTTCTCAATCTTGATGCCATTGGGTTGATTGGGCGTCAAGCGATTGCCCGCATTGTCCACAAAGGGTATCTTTTTCTTGGCCACATGCAGCTTCAGCTTACGCTCATAGCTGTTGCCGATCTTACGTAGAAAGGCGACAGTGAAGAAGTGATTGCATATATTCCCAGCGCTATATGTGAGACGTCCGTCGGCGTTGCGCATTTCGGCCGTCTTTGGTGAGATTTCACTGTACTCCACCACTTGGTATTTGTTATCGACAATGGCCACCACACCGACTGCCTCATTGGGTGATGATTTCTCCACCACCTTGGCGGCACAGTCCGCCTGCTCCTGAACGCAATAGCCAATGAATATGGGATCAGCCACCTTAATCAGTATGTTGTCAACACTGTGCGCATGCACATAGAGTATGCCACGCCTCTCCATATCATCCAAAACACCTGCACGTTGCATTGCTCGGTAGATGCCACCATTGCCATCTGGAGAGCGCGAGACGCGATGCTTCTCGTCTAGAATGATGCGTCCATCGTAGTCGAAGCATGGTAATGAGCCCTGCTCAAAGAGCACCACATTCTCCTCCCTCAGTCCAAAATAGTTGTTGGCTTCCAAATAATTCTGAGTTGGCTGCATTGTGTGCTCCGATGTCATTATATACCAAACAATACAGCCCCTTTGGCCGCATGCTTCTTCGGCCAACTGCTCCAGCCTTTGAATCCTTTCCGCCTGTATGCGAAAGAGCGTTTTATGCGATTGCAAGCCCACGTCATACATTCCCTTGGGCTGATCGAAGCCAAGTCGAGTGCCTGGGAAGACAAAATTATTTCCATTTTATTCGTTATTAGTTTTGTATTTCAAACGGTTTCCAATCTTAGACGAAAAATTTATTTTTAAGGTGACCATATATTTAGTTATCGACACACTTTTGCCAAAAATGGCACACCTATTTCTATGTTTATAATTGGTAATTGCAAAAATACATATGCAACACAATCAATTATTAAATACTTATTATAAATCTCCAGATCTGATCTCATGCAGATATATTTAACTATTATGTCTGTTGTTAGGGCCTGTTGCTGCGCGCCTAGCCGCTTGACCTTAAAAACTTGTTTCTCTTAATTCGGCTACGGTTTCGCTTTCAATAAGAGCTCGAAATGTTTTTTATTTATTGTATCTTTTTGTTTCTTGCTACTCTTATAGCTGTTTAGCATTTAAACCTGTCTTAAGGTCATTCGTATGCAGTACTGCCGGTTTTTTAATTATAGCATGCTTATCGATTAGCTAGTGATCAGCAACATTATTATCGATAAATAAAGCGGCCGTGGGCTGTGGTAGTCGGTTACACTCATAACCGTTATATAGTTACGTTACGTGTCATAAATACGTAAGAAGCGTGTGTGTTCGTACATTTGTATGTATGCATGTACGTACATCGACTCTAACCAAATGCCAAGAGCCAGGCGAACGTTAACTTTTCGTCTTTCGTATTTCGCCTTTGCTGTTGTTGCTTTTGTTTGTTTAAGGCAATTACGTGATTTTGCTTGCAGCAAGCAAAATGAAATAAAACGGGAAATATCAAACGTTGATCGAAATCAGAAAAGAAGGGGAACAACAACAATAGCAGGAGGCAAACTAAGACAGTCTATTGGATTGGCTGGCCATAAGAATAGCTTAAATTATTAGTACTTTATGCTGTTTTACCTGCCTGCCTGGTATGGCGTGTCTTGCAAGCTGAATTACAAATTATAAGTAACAACCACAACTAAAGCTGCACGAGTGGGCAGTTGATTCGTGCGTTTGTATGTGTGCTGTTTAGTGTGAGTGTGGGTGTCTGTGAGTATGTATGCTTAAAGGGAACTGTATATGTGGCACGCTTAATGAAGCATTTTTATATCAATCTAATTAGCTGTTTATCCACACACACATACATGCATATATACACATACAGATGCACACGTGCACTCATAAACGCGTTTAGAGACTCGGCAGTCTGCATTGCCTTCCCTTGTTATACACCACCAACCCCCCCCCCCCCCCACATTTTTTTCATCTCTGGACGCTTGCGAGCAGAAAAAAAAGTTAAAAATAGCACATATATTATATAAGTGTGCAAATTACAGCAAACAACAAGAAAAATATAAACAGTAAACAAACTTTGACGTTTTTCTGTTTTTCGTCTTGCAATTTCCAGCTAAGTCATATATTAGAATTTACACAAAGTTATTTGTGCATCCACAATTGAAATAAAAATGTATCAAAAATTCCCAGGAATTCAATCATGCCTATATATATGTATATGCATGTCTTTATATATGCGTGCATTGTAGTCAAATTCAAATTAACATTTAATGTTAGAACACTGTTAATGTCCATAACATGATGCAATTTGCGTGTGCTGCAATGAAAACTTGCAGTATTTACATATACAACTAGAGCATAAGCATAAGTCGCCCCTGTTAAGTTGTGCTTGTATGTGTGCCTGCGTGTGCCAAACAGAGTTTACATTTAACTTTTTCAGAGTGCCTAACATTCTATGATTTTAGTTAAGTGATTGTTTTTTTAATAGGTAAAATTCCCCTATTTGGCAAGGTGTTTTCAGTGTTTTACATACACATGTATGTCTGTCATATATATATATATATATATACGGTATAAGTATGTAGATCGCTATCATATCTTTGCAAGACAACAACTCAATTTGAATCGCCCAATTTCCGAAGAATGTCGTTTATTTTTGATATTGTCACTCACCTTGTCCACCCGCCATGAGCAGCACCGCGACATAGCCTTTGGCAATCTGTTCCAATCCCTTCTCCCGATAGGCGTTCAATTTGTCCGGCGTAGTGCGAGCTATCGACAGTATCTGCTCGTCGGGCATGGGTTGCATGCGACCGTCCAGCTTGATGCCATTCGCATTCATTGAGATGGTGGCACGTTCCCAATTGGGTTTGATCTCATCAAAGTCGAGCTTAGCTAAGTCACGCTCCAGCTGGAGACGTTTGTCCGGTGTGAGCTCGTCCCAAAACTTAAGTAAATGCTCCTGCCTCACCTGGGCGAGTCGGTTTTGATGCTTGTTCAGGTGATCTGTCATTGTTGTTGCTGTCGGCTTGATGACTGTTCACAGAGAGAGAGAAAGAGAGGTGGGGAGGGGGAGAAAAAGGGTGTGAGGAGAAAGAGCGCGACAATTAGATAGCGAATGCTGAATTTTTATTTTGTTGATGAAGTAGCGCGATTTTGTTATCGTTGCCTAACTTTTTATTTTGTTTATTATTTCTATTTGCTTAACGCGATAAATGTGTTTTTCCTTTTACTTTGATAATGGCTTTAGTAAAGAGTCAGACGAACCGTTATGTGCGGCTAGCAATGCGCAACTGTGCGCCAACCGCACGCCTTCAGTAGTTTTTCTTTGAGCTGCCTATCGTTGGCGACTGCGACGCCGGCCGCGACAGTGGCAGCGACAACGGCAGAGACAACGGCAGCGACGTGGACTTCGATGGTGCTGCTTGAATGGCAGGCGCGCATGTGTGTAAACAAGTTGAACTGTTGAGTGTGTGCATGTGTGTGTGCGAGAGTGTTTTGACGTGTTTGCAGTCACATATAGTGATGGTCGTTAGGGCCATATTTACATACATATATATGTATGTTTGTGTCTGCACAAAATATTTGCATTATATAAATAAAATACTATAAATATATATATATATAATATAATATATATAATATATTATATATATAATATAACCACATTATGCGGAAGCTTTATAAGATTATAGCTAAACAAAATGTATTTACAATGTAAATAGATATTATCAATAAGTGATATCTAATCTGATCGCCCAATATTTATAGCCAAAAATACAGAAAGCGATTGAATCATGTTATTTGATATATTTTCTAAATAGGTTATCGCATTTCATATAATATTTATATAATTGACGCTTGGTACGAAAGAAATCGGTCAGTATGTGACTCATTATTCATAATTGTTTCAAATAGGATTATTTTGGCAGAGATAACAAATTTCCTAGAAGATCGAGCTGGAATAATTGCGATTAAAATTGCAATTGCTGAAGCAAATGACCGTGAACGCAGGCTAAAGCGAAAGTTAATGCTGATTGGCGCAGACAAAGAACCAGAAATACTTAAGGGCAAGCTACATACATAGATATGTAAATGTATGTAGCACTAGACTATTTTCAGTTGCAATTCCAGTTTGAATTCCAGTTGGGAGTTCCTGTTCTGCACAAAAAACTTGTTTCATTCAAGGCGAAACAAGAGGAAAGAGAGAAGACGGCGAGCACAAAATGATATTCGCCTAAGAGTTGTCGAAAACCAAGTTAGTCTTTTTACATACTGCTATTATTGTTGTAGTTCTTGTCGACGTCGACTACAATGGTGACTGCATTACACGTTGACAATAAACCGCTAAAGTCACTAACACAAGCCCGTGCGCACTGAGCAACGCGACCACCAAATACTACAGAGCACAACACACACGCTCCCATACACACGTGCACATGTATGTGTGTTTCGATAAAATATGTTTTGTTTATACTGAGGACCGGAGCGAGCCCGCTATGTTAGTTCTTTCGCCACTCCTCAGTTAAATTGCAATGGCGCTCTTCTTATCAGAAATAAACTGGAAACTTACCATTTTGGAAATCTGTGTGCCTTTGTTGTTGCTGTTGAGCACTGAAATTACTGTTGAGACCCATAATTTTCTTAAGCGAAATGGCAAAAAAAAAAAATAGGCATGCGTTATGCACACACTTAGTAACTGACACTGGCCACTTGTTTTCAGCGGGACATTTTTATTATTATTATTCGTACTTGTTGCGCGATAGACCGTTCGTCAACATGTCAAACTGTTGGATAACTGAAAACAGATGGCGTGCGTACATAAATGAAAACTTAACAAATATAAAGCGAACACTACGGCCATTAGCCCCAAGCGAATCCAATTGGCGAATCGATATTTGGGATGTGCGATAACTATCGCTGTGACTTATCGCAATTGCTATAAAATTGCATGTTCATACGATACTGTGTAGCTAATCATGATATCGCTTGATTGTAAATGAGTGAAAAATGGCAAACTTTTCAGTTAAAATAAAAAAAGAAAGTCAGATTATATATGTTTGTTCGCCTCCTCTAGCGGGTTGGTCACAAACAGTGTTTTAAATTCGCAGACAACTTTAGCACACAGAAAAATACTTTTTGATATTTATCAGAATGTTGCTACAAATATTCTTTTAGAACTTCGTACTAATTATATGCGAGCAACATATTAGCCTCATACTTATATATTCGTATGCGTATGATTAATGCAAATTACCATTATTTTGGGCTTTTTAAATATATTTACAGTAAATGTTATAAACTAAATAAAGCATTTTTCTGTTTTTTCTTTCAATACATGTAAATACTATAACTGAGGTTTTGCATGTATGTGTATGTATGGGTATGCATGTGTGTGGTCGCTATATTGATGGAAGTATTCTGCGTCTGCTTTCGTGGGCGTCGCCTCTGAAGGGGGCGGAGGCGTGGTTGTGCAGCAATTAGAAAACTACACGTATGTTAATTTTAAAGCAATAAAAAAGTAACATTAAATACAATTACATTAACATACACACAAAAAGATAAACATAAGCAGCTCAAATCAAATTCATTTATGTTAAAATATATATATATATGTATGTATATATATAAACTGTCTAATTGGACTCCGCGTCCAATTGAATAAGCGTCTCATTCGTTTGCTCCTCCTCTTTGGGCGGCGGCGCCGGCATGGGTATTGCAATGGTGCTCATCGTGCTGATCATGCGTGGCTCAGCGTGCGCAGTTGTAATCGGCTGCATCTGCTGGGCTGCAGGCTTAACGAAATCCGGCTGAGGTGCTGCAGCAGCACCAGCACCAGCTAAATGGCCATGGCTGTGACCGTGACTGTGACCATGATTATGGCCATGACTGTGGCTATGTTGCTTGTGCTGCTGCTGCTGTTGTTGCTGCTGATGATGATGTTGATGCTGATGCTGATGATGTTGATTATGGTGATGATGCTGTTGCTGTTGTTGTTGAGGAAAGGATTTGGGTAGCTGTGCATGACGCGTGGAGTCCGTAGCCTTAAGTCTCTCGCTCAAAGCCTTCAGAGCAATTTGTCTAGATGTATAAGATTTGAAGTTACAAGTTAAATATATAAGTAGATCCCATTTTCTTACCGTCTGCGCTCAATATCATGTGGATCCACTCCAGGCATTTGAACCGATATGGAAGTCAAGCTTGCTGTTGAGATCGTACGCAATGGCGAAGGCGTCTTAACAACGCCAGCACGCAAACAACAATTGTATATAGGATTCACTAGAAGGCTAATAAAGGGCTGTGTCACATTTGGAAAGAAGCTAACGAAGGTGAAGCTCTCAGAGCTATCGCCACGACCATTTGGATGATGCTGATAGAACCGCAAATATATCCATGAGACAATAGCACCAGAGGCAAACATAGCCGGATATGTGCCATCCAGTAAGCCAATAGCCCAGCCAATGATGGCCAAGATGAGCACAGTCAAAGGAACATTCCTACAGCAGACAAAGATATATAGTAAATAGAGATCGTATAGACATTTTAAAAGACTCACCGATTAGTCAGTCGTCCGTAGCGTGTTTTGAATATTAGATGATCGGGCATAATTTGCCGCACAGCCACACAAATGCCAGCCACATAGCCAGCCAAACCATGAATGTGTACGTCAAATAATATTGTCGGATTCTTCGTAACCATATAGTAGAATAGATAATAGATCGTCGTTACAAGCGAAACGCCAAAATTGCTTAGCGCAAAGAATTTGAACATTTCGAATTGACCCCACAGCGGCTCCAACATTTTTCCACACAGTCCAACTGTCACCACGTCCACTATCACCTCCCACCAGTGTAGCTCGATGAAGCAGAAGGTAAAGGCGGTCCATATCCAAAATTTACCGTTGGGCAAAATGTAACCTGGCGTTACGCTTAGCAGCAATATTGCTGTTTCTGAATACGATAACAGATAGCCAACTGTTGTTACTAAACAGATCAACGTTATTACTGGCGACGTGTTGTGCAGCAGAGCAGCTAGTTGCTGCTTTAAATACGGTACATTTCGTGTGAGTGGAGCTGACATGGCAACTCAAATTCAGATTTCGATTGCCTCCAGATGATGATGTTGTTGTTTCTCTTGTTGTTGTTGTGTTTGGCTTGTGTTGCGCACAGCTTGGTTGTTGCACGTTACGCTCTTCTGTTTATAAATGCGCATTAGTAAATTTATTGTGTGCGTTTATGTTGTTTAAACTGTGTGTCGAATTGCTTATTTTTATTTATGATTATTTTTCCATTTTATGCACTACGAAGTGAGACCAGATTCTGTTAAGCCAGAAATCACTCGTGTTGTTGCTGGCTCTTTATGACAATCGAAAAGCTATCGCCTTGATGGAGTTATCGCTTCAATATATTGCTATGCAATATTAAAAATTTAGCAATACTGAAGTACTTATATGTATGCTAAATATAAATATAAATAAATAAAAATGGAGTAAAGTTAAGATTATCCAATGCCCACTGCTGCACTGTTCAGATTCACTTTATCTACTAGCTAATACGAAAATTTACCAAGTCAAATGGAGAACTTTACTGCATTAAATTTAAAAACTAAAATCTATATCGATATTAAACTTTCTTGCCGCGGCGAATTTGCACTTTTAAGAAACAAATAAAAATGCGCTTGTTGAATTAAAAAAAGTTTATCTAATTTACGTTTTATTATTATGACAATTTGTATGCATGATTTTCAATGCGTGATTTTTAATGTTCGTTTCATGTACTCATTATCCATCGTGTTGTAATAATTTCAAGTGTAATCGATGATGGTCTTTATAATTATATTACACTCAGTTAAAAACAATAAATTGCATTGAAATTCAATCAATTCAGTGAAATATTGAACTTAAGCAATAAAGTCTCACATTTTCAGTTATCTCTGATATAAACTAATAAAACTATTCAAACTAAAGTTCTTGTCGCATTAAACACAAACATTACTTTCTCCCTAGGCCAGCAAAGACCTTCAAATCATGGAAGTTTTTCTTTTTTCGGAACCATACACAAGGACGATGTTATTAATTCACTTAAATTGGTAGACGCGAGACAGGTGGCTGGTGGCGGGTGGCGGGAATCGCAGCGAGCTGACATGGGAGAAGTATATGATGAAGTATTTGTTTGCTATTATTGTTTTGGGTTTTCATTTCTGTTTTGTTTGTGATTGTAAAAGTTTGCTGCTTAGAACAGCAGCGTGCCCATGCCACCCATTTCGGATTGTTCCTTAACGAAAATCTCAAAGTATTGATAGATGATCGTCACAGCCAGCAGGATACCCGTACCGGAGCCAATAGCGCCCAGGAAATCGGCCATAACGGACAAAGCGCCAATACATAGGCCACCAAAAGCAGCAGCCGTTGGAATATAACGATTCAGTTCATGAATCATGGAGTTCTCGCGATGACCGCGCATCACCATGTGCTGCTCCTTCAGTTGCTTGGCAACCTGTTAAAACAAAAAAAAAAAAACTGTTTAGTTAAATACATATTATTTAAAGACATATAATAAACTTACATCCTTGGCTGAGCTGCCAGATACATCGATCCATGTCTTTGAGAAGAATGCACAGGAGCCCAACATAAAGACAATGTAGAGCAGCGCATGAATTGGATCAGTGAGTATGTGGCCCACACTCTCTGGTGGCGACAGATAATAGCACAGGCCGCCAATAGGATAGGAACGAGCTGGGCCGCCACCGCCAACATCGGCCCAAACGCCAAGCAAATTGATGAAGAAATTGCCTTGGAATTTAACAGCCAACATCTGGGAGATGACATACAAGTTGGAAACCAAAGCCGATTGTAGAATGATGGGAATGTTTGAAGTGTAGAACAACTTGATCGGGTAGCTGCTGTATTGGCCACGGTAGCGTGCGCTCTTGATGGGTAGATCAACGCGGAAACCTTGAAAGTAGATGACGACAGCAAACACCAAAATGGTAGCCAACAAATTCATCAGATTCGGCAAATTCTGACGGTAGAATGCCTCGCGGAGAGCACGAACTTTGTCATTGCGCGTCGCCATCAAATGGAAGAGAGCAATCACAGCGCCCTCAAATTCAGTGCCACGTCCCGTTGTTACAGTGGTTGGGGAGAATGCCTTCCACACGATCGTCTCACAAATGTTCGTGGCAATGAACAGCGAAATACCAGAACCCAGGCCATAGCCCTTTTGCAGCAGCTCATCGAGCAGCAGGACAATTAGACCAGCAGCGAACAACTGAATGATGATCAGCAGACAGACGCCGGCGCCGATTTCCGATGGATCACCATACATGCCAGTCATCACATAAACGATGGCCTGTCCAATAGTGATGACCATGCCAAACAGTTTCTGCGCGCCGTTGAAGAGAGCACGATCCTTGGGCGTATCACCGACTTCGATAATCTTGGCACCAGCCAAGAGCTGCATAATCAAACCGGATGTCACAATGGGCGAGATGCCCAGCTCCATAAGCGTGCCACGATTGGAGGCGAGTATCACACGTATCCAATAGAAGGGATCCGCTGAATCGGAGCTCATAATGCCGAACAACGGGATCTGACAGCATACCAGGAAAATGAACAATGTGATAGCTGTCCATAGCACTTTTTCTCTGAATTGAATCTGCAACAAAATATTAAATATATTTAATTTACTCTATAATATCTTAATATTATAAGATACATAACTTAAGATACATGAGCAAAATATCTTAAATCTTAATATAAAATTATTTAACTTTTAATATGTATATTTTTTTATAGAAACATTATATATATTATATATATATATATATATATATATATATATAATTTAAATTTTTCCATAAACAATACAACGGACTATTTAAGCTTCGACCCCCATCATACACAACTACCGCTATTCTGACCTATATGTGTGTACGTGTGTTAATGCTTAAAAAAATCAAGTTTTGCTTATCGCTGCTCATCATATGGTCGTGTCAACACAACAATACACACGAAGCTGACGTCGCATAGCGTCGTGCGGCTTCTTCGGGCGAGCCGAAGTTTGACGTTTCCACGTCGTTTGCGGTATTGCATTGTTTGTCAAAATTGTGTAAAATAGTAGTAGGGCAACAAGTAGTCAAGAAATTGTACTTCAATTTGATAACAATAGTAGTAGCTAATTTCAGTTGTTTTATGAATGAAAAATTAATTTAAATAAAAAAATCAAAACATAAACGAACACTGTATAGGTAAATACAGCTTAACTAATGCACATGAGCATGGCCCTAACACATGTCATACTTTATGGTGAAAAAAACTTTTTAATTGGGGCTAAAAATGTTTTTCACATTTAATACAGTAAAGTGTATTTGTGCTCATTATTATTATAATTATTTTTATAAATAAAACAACAACTTGTGTACTTCCGAGTGTCTACTACTAAACCTGAAACTGTTTGCGTGGCGCATTTAACTGACAAGTGAAAGCAAAAATATAAAACGTGTGCGCTGGCAACACTGGCGCACTGCAAATCAAATACGATATGAAAATGCAAATAAAACAAAATAAAAGATAACTACAAAATCAAATTCTGCTACGGAAATTTAACAAGTATAAATATAAATACATACATATATAATTATTGTTAATTATACATACCTTGCGCTCGGGCTTTGCAATTTCAGGCAGTATGCTGCAGAAAGGCTTGATAACTTCTAGGAATTTGACTGCGAATGGGTGAATGAAAACAATTAATTTGGTTAGATTTCTTTGCCATCCATTATTCTGTTTTACAGCTCGCACTTTACACAATTAGCGGCGGTGGCATATCAGTTCCAAAATTTCGTTTTCTTTTTTTTTTGTATACGTAAGCAAGTACGGGGGTGTTGCCGAAGCGGCCGCTACTTATTGGCAAAGTTGAGCGGTACTTTTATATAGATATTGCACGTTAAGCTATTGGCGTTGTACTTACTTCCCATTGTGTTTGACTTAATGTAACGTACGGCAGGGAACTAAACTTATGATTTGTATTGCTGCACTTTCTACACCAAATTTAGAAAGTTTCAGTTCTATTGGGGAACACTCCAACGGACACAGCGACCGCTTCAACTGACGAAAACCGAATGAACGATGTTAGGGACAACGAATATAACCGAAGTAGGCACGACGTGTCATTTGCACATTATGTTGACGTTTCTTAACATTGTATTAGGGATGTTAATATAATATCGATATATCGATTGCATTACCAATCTATTAAATTGGAATATGAATATTTCTAAATTGTAACTAACGTAATAGTTTTATTATAAATATTGAAAAATAATAATAATTTTTATTGTGTTTTTTTATATTGCTATTCCCTTACAATTAAAACAGTCCAATTACTTATCGAATGTTATGTAGCATACAAGTAACGCAAAAATGAGCGCGGAAAACAAGTTAACAGCAGTTAACTCTGAGCTGTGAAATACGGAGCAAGACTGCTAATTTAAGCGCTGCCATTATTCGCCAACAATATGGCAACTTTATGTGCCATAGAACTCTACAAAAAGCAAAGCAACCTAGCCTGCGAAAACAAACGCAAAGCAACAATACAAACACAGGCGAAATCAAATTATAAGACACAGACGTAATATATGCGTGAAAAACTAGCTGGCAACAATAACAGTTGCGTGTGTTGAGCCAAATGTCAAGAAAAACTAGCAAAAAGCGACGCATCAAATAAAAATTGAGTGTTAAGTGTAAATCAACTATGACTTCGGTTATATATGTGGAATTGAGCTCGGATTCGGAGGAGGAGGTAAAAGCGCCAGTGACAGCGCCAACAACGTTCAGCTGGTGTAGAAAAGTACAGTTGTATTTTTAATAGGTTTTGTGCATTGGTGTGCGCGTATTAGTGTTGGCGTGCGTGCGTCTATATGTGTTTTATACAAGTATATGTGTACGTGTTTGTGAATGTGTGTGTATTACAAATTATGTGTACGAATATCATTTTCGCGGTGCTTTTATTGTTGCCCGCACACATACACATTTACACCAACAACTCGACACGCACACTCTTGCACACAGCCAATGCTGCCAATGTTGCCACCTTGCCTGCAGACACTGCTGCACTTGGAGCTAGCAATTAGAAATGTTAATTGTTCTAACTGAAACCAGTTGCTATGCATGTGTGGGTGTATTTATGTGACATTATTGTACAGTTTGCGACGCAATTCGCCTAATTATTAACGATGTTAACATTTTGTTTACATGAGCAGGCGAAATAAATGTAACTCTACACTGCATTTGTCGGCGCGCCTCAAAACTCTACAAACATTGCCCCACTCACACAGATGCAGTAGCGTATTTGTTTGTTTTGTTTTGTAAATGGAATTTAAAATGCAATACCCAACAGGTCGTTTTTCTTGATTTTTTTTTTAATATTATCTCCGTTTATCTACAGGGCCCACCCGATGCGAAGCGAGCGCGTCGAGAGCTGACAAAGATGACCACTGCAAAAACGTTGCCCACGAAATTGTTGCACATACCAAAAGCTTCTATTGTGACACCAGCCACTGGGATCAAGGTAACACCTACTGTAACGGCAGCGACAACAGCGACAGCAACTGGAACAATAGTCGGGACATACAGGTATGGAGTAACATTAAATGCAGTTCAGATAGACACATTGAGCAAAACAAAATTCAAAACAAATCCGCTTAATAAATATCGATAGGATTCTGATTGTTGCTCTGTTAAAAATTGTTATCGATAACTTACAAAACGCATCTTACAGGTCCATGCATATACCCAGTGGCATAACGGTAACCAAGCACAACAACAGCAATGGCAATTTCAACATGTCCACTGCCAAAATCACAGTCGAAACTAACAATAATAGCAACATCAGCAGCAACAACAATAACAATAACAATAATGCAAATTACAAGCCTTTCAAACTAGCAAGTGGTACCTGGTCAAAGACGCCAACGGGCACCACAATGGCAACAATTACCAGTGTACCCAGCCCACAGACGATGACCTCAAAGCCGGTGCAAAGACCCAGCACACATCAGCAAAAGGCGACTATAAAACAAAAGTCAACGACAACAACAGCTCCACAAAAAACTGCTGTACAGCAACAGCAACAGCAACAGCAACAACAACAGCAGCAGCAGCAGCATCAGCAACAGCAACTGCATCAGCAAAAGCAGAGGGCAGCAACGTCGATCAAGCAGCTGCAACAACAGCAGCCAAAGCCGACGATGTCTGCGGCACAACTGCCACAAAAGCAGGTGAACACTCTGCAACAGCAGCAGCAGCAGAAGCTAATGGCGACAACATCCATACAACAGCAGCAAAAGCCACCGCCAACGATGTTACAACAGCAACAGCAGAAATCCACAGCAATGCTGCAGGTGCCACAGCAACAATTGCAGCAAAAGCCGTCCATTACAATGTCAACGGTGCAGATGCAACATCAGCAAAGGACACCCACAGCGATTGCAACGCCAACTGTAATGTCACAAAAGCCAATTTTGCAACAACAGCGACCGTTAAAACCACCGCTGCAACCACATCAACAGCAGCAGCAGCAGCAGCTGCTGAAAACACAGCAAGCCAACCAACAAATAATGTTAACCAAAAAGCTGCCAGTAAAACAAACAGCAAAGCAAACTGCTACACAGCGTTTGCCCACCTTGCAAAAGATGCCGCTGACATCGCCCGCCAGCCAACAAAAGCTGCCGCCGCCAGCGCATAGTGCCAACAACAGCAGCACCACGAACAGCGGCAACGTACAGTTGCACAAACAGAAGATGCAGCAGCAACAGCAACAGCATCAGCAGCTGGCACCACCGCCGCCCGCACATCATGCGACGACACAGCTGGCAAAGCTCACGCCAATGCCCATGTTGAGCAGACAGAATGTCGTGCTGCCAACGCCTGCTTCAATAAACAGTGCAGCACGCACACTGCCCTACAAAATGAAACCCACTGCAGCAAGTGTAACAGCAACATCTGTAGCAACAATAACAACAGCTGCAGCATCAGTAACAGCCACAACTGCAGCAGTAGTAGCAGCATCAGCCCTACGCAACGTGCAACAGTTTACGCCCAGCAGCAACAGCATCACAACAGCAGGTGCAACGCCCCCTTTACGTCTGTTAGCCACGCCTCCACATTGCGCTGCAGCATTAAACGAGCCGCTGCTGCTCAATCTGCCGCCCACGACGAGCATCACGCCACAGCTGACGCCGACGACAACGCCGCCGCCGACGGCAACATCGACAACAGCACCTGCAACAGCTCCTGCTGCTGCCAAGATAACCTTTCCAGGTGCAAGTATTTCACCTGTCCAAAAGCCGGCCACTAAGCGTGTGCAGCCCATCACAGTGCTCAAGAAATCGGATGACGAGTGGCGTCGGCACATAGCACAACAGCAACTCGAACAGTGTCACAAACCAAAGGAGCCGCCCATTACCACGCCCACCATCGTGTTAGTCGAATCGCCGCCCACAACGCCACCGACCGAAAAGGTTGAGAGCAGCTCTGCTCCAGTTGCTCCAACTGCAACTGCGACTCCAACTACAGTGACTGCTGCTGCTGCTTCTGGTCCAGCTACAACAGTTGCTGGATCTGCTACAACACGTCCACAACTTGTGCCGGAATATACGGCCATGTTACAGTTATGTCGTGAGCTAGATAAATCGCCGGATATGGAGCGATTGATTGAGATTAAGCTGATGAAATACTATTACAGTGTCCATGAGAACTTTGTCCGTTCACGTGGCTTTCGCAAGCAATTGGAACAGACCATGGAACGCATGCGCAATGAGCCGGATATGATTTATGTGCATCTCAAGTGTGTGGTCGATGAGTTGAAGGTGCGACGTAAAGCCAAAGCGGTAGAGCTGCCTCCCGACGAGCCGGAAGAGAAGCCAGCAGCCCCAGCGGCTGTAACAGCAGTAGCAGCAGCCTCAATACCAACGCCAACTCCACCTGAGATTAAGAATGTGCAGCCAGCGGTTACACCAGCAGCATCTCCTCCCAGCACTGGCAACAAGCGCACGGATGAGCGTATTAGGAAATTAAATCGCACTTTGTATACCATTACGAAACGTATTAGCGCCTTGGAAGAGGCGGATGTCGATTGGAATGATGATGATGACTCCAGTTATCTGCAGGTGGAGCGCTATAAGAAGCGCGCCTGTCAGATCTATGAGAAAATCTGTGATTTAACCGGTGAAAGTAAAAGCGCACATCGTCAGATGAAGCAGCCCATATTATTTAAGGATACGCCATATCCACAATTCAATCGCACACTCTCCGCGTTCGTCAATCGCATGCATGAATTCCCCGATTATCATGATGTGCTCCAACTGCTGGAGCATTGTAATAAGGATAAGAATCTAGGCCTGGCTACGTTCGAAATGAAGCGCATAGGTAAGAGGAAGCAATTTGTTGTTACTGTATATAATTTATATATAATCTCTATTCATAATTGCGTTTTTCAGCTCATGACGCGTTTGTTAAGGTGGGTCGCCTGCTCCAGGCGCGGCGTAAGACTGATCTCTATGAGACCGTAACACATTTCACAGCCAATGCCAAGGATCCAGCTGTCTCGGATGCTACACTGCTGGCCAAGCTCAACGAAAATAACAAGAAGCAAACGAAAATCAGTGACATACTAGAAAAGTAAGTAGCTGCTGTTGTAGTAAGTGCTACTGCGAATCCCAATTAAACCGTAACTTGCTTTGCAGATTTGCGCGCGAGCAGGATCTCACCAGCGAGGAGCAGCGCGAGGCGAGGCTAAAGGAAAAACAACTGCAAGCGGCGGTAACAGCATCAACAGCAACGGAAACAACATCAGTCGAAACAGCCACTGGAGAGACAGTCGCTAAACATACATTTGTTCCACATGTAGACGATGAGAAGCCCTGCACTAGTGCTCAGGCCCAGGCGCAGGCAGCCCAACAAATTGTCTTAACAAATGGCCTGGAAAAAAGTGAATGTGAGCATGACAGCGACAGTGATGAGGATGATGAGGACGACGATGAAACGGATGAGGATGTAGACGCCTTTGTTGATAATTTTAAAGCAAACGGCGATATAAGCGATGTAGAATCCGATACGGAAGCAAATGCAGCACCAAAGACATCTGCTACTGCCGCAACGGCGGCTGCTCATGTGATAGTTAATAATATAACGAGAGTCAAGACTGCTGCTAATAATGATAATAATAATGTTGACGATAATGTTAATGAAAGTGCGAAAGAGGCTGCTAAAGCGTTGCCCAACGGCAAGCTGAAGGATGCACCTGCTGCCCAGGTACTAAAGGTTATGTCAGTTTCTAGTCTAAATGCAACTGTATCCACAACCACCATCAACAATAATAGTAACAGCAACAGTACGAACATTAGCAGCTCAGAGCAGCCGCCGCAGAAACAGCAGCAGCAGCAGCAGCAAGAAAAGCAACAGATCACAGAAATTATCATTTCAGATGAGGAGTCATAAGTGTTCTCCTCGTTCATTTCCCATCAGCAGCATGTTAGTTTCTGTTTTATTTAGTTAGAATTTATTTATTTATCTCATATTGCGCACAGTTTGTTATACTTCCATATACGATATATTAATTGTTTTCATTTACATTTGTATTCTATGTATCATATATAGATTTAAATTTAGTTTCCATTAATTATGCAGCACTTTGTGGATGCTGTGCTATAACTGTAACTTTTTTAGTGCGCAAAAAAACGCTTAGATAGTGTACATATGAAATGCAACTACTATTACATTTAAGTGTATGTTTTAAAAAAACACTAATGACATAAGAAATAAAATGAAAAAATCAAATTACCTTCAACTGTTTTTCCTTTCCCATTTGCTATTTTTTAAATTCTCGCGCTGCCTGTTCAATGACAACTCTTTGTTATCAAAACTATCGAGATTATCGAATTGTCAAGCTTTAAACTTCGTTTAAGGCTCCGCCTGCATCGCGCCAAGCAGATAGCTAGTTATGCGTGAGTTGTCGATTACGGTTTCTTCGATAATATCGAAGTGATCGTACTTATCGAACAGCTTAAAAATTACGTTAAATCCAGCCTCCTCTAAATTCTTGGCAAAAACGCGACTTTGCTCAATGAACGTGACGCTCTCGTGTTCTGCGGCTATTACATGCAACTGGACACCGGACCAGGATGGACTATCAGCTGGCCATGGCCACAATATGGGCGACAGCTCCGTGGCACTCTCAGTAGTAAGACCGAAGATGTTATTGGGATTCACAGGATCGAGTTGCCAAAGTTCGCGCAAATCATAAACGCCAGATATAAAGAATACGACACGCACTTTTTGCCGTCGTTCCTCGGAAATTAATGATGGAACATGTAGCAGTTGTGCGAGAAGGTGTGCACCAGCTGAATGACCCGCAAAACTAATTTCAGTGGTTTTCGTTTCCTCAGCATAATTGAAAATCCATAGCAAAAAGTTGGTAAACTGCTGCAGCAGCTGAGGCAGCGTCACCTGTGGGCAGTTGTTGTAGTCCATGACGGCGACGCGATAGCCACGACGCACTAGAGGCCCAACAATAGAACAGGAATGCGATTTATCGAGCATTTGCCAATAGCCGCCATGGACGTAAACAAATAGAGGCGACGGCTGCTCCGATGTGCCGTCTTTATAAAAAACATCAACTAGTTGTCTATCATCCGTGCCGCCATAGCGCAAATTGTGAACCTTAATGTCAGCTGTGGATGCCAGCTCTTGTGAGTCTATTTTCGATCAGATGATAAGAGATAATTGTGAAAAAATGAAAAAAGCTTGTGCTAGAGGTTAGCTTCGACTTACGTTGGGAGCTTACGAGCAGAAAATTTTCTTGTACAGCTACATTGGGCTCCGGCCGATCTTGAAATCTAGCAGTATGATAGCTGGGAAAATATTCACGGACCAAGTCAATTTCTTGCTCTTGCGGATTATACATGATTATTAGACGACGTTGAACAAACGACTGAACTACTAGTCAACTATCATGTATTTATTACATGGATGTACAATCAGCTAAGCAAACCTGTTCTTTTTCGCATATGTAAATGTTTGCGGTTTTACATGTCTCTAGCCCAGTTCTGCAGTTTTTTTTAATCTACTCTTATTAAAGCTTTGAAACTCTGCAATTATAATAATATATGCATTATTTGTAGTATTCAAACTTTTCAATAAGTTTCGTTAGCGCTATAATACTATAATATAATTCTGATCTAAAATTGCCATAAAAAGCGAATATTCAAAAGAACAAGTTCCACTAGTTTAACAGCGGATTTTAATTGAAACAGCTGGCAGCATTTTGTAACAGAGTGGCAACACTGTAACTGAAAAGCCAACTCAGCTTCTAGTTTGTACATTTTATTTTGAGTTTGTGAAACAACTGAAATTCTTTATTAAAAATGAGCAGAGCCCAACAGCAAAACGATGAGGATGTCAACTCGGCGTTGTTTGATGCACGCAATGAGTATTATATAGGCAATTTCATGGGCTCAATTAACTTTGTGTTGCCTGAACAAGGAACAGCAGGTGCCGAACTTTTGTCGTACATGTATTTATCATATTTGGCTATCGATTCCGGTCGCATCATTGCGTCGGACATCAAGGAGAATACAACGACCCCGCTGTTGGCATTACGTCTCGTGCACGAGGCCTTTGAGCAGCCATCACGCACCGAGGAGCTGCTCGAGAAACTCACAGACAAAGTGGCTGGCGATGAGGATGAGTCCAACATCTGGCACATTGCCACAGCCATCGTTTACTGTTACGATGGACAGTTTGAGAATGCTCTGAAGATATTGCATGGCTCGAACAATCTTGAATCGATGGCATTATCTGTGCAGTGTCTGTTGCGCTTGCAGCGCGTTGATCTGGCCAAACAGCTGGTGACCAAAATGCAAGAGATTAGTGACGATGCAACACTCACACAGCTGGCACAAGCTTGGGTTGCTTTGGCACAGGGCACTGAACAGATGCAAGATGCCTTTCACATCTACCAAGAGTTCTGTGAAAAGTTCAAGCCAACTCCAGCGCTGCTTAACGGCCAGGCAGTCGTTCATTTGGGCCTGGAACGTTATGAGGAGGCGGAAGCTGTATTGCGTGAATCACTGACCAAGAAGCATAATGATTACGATACATTGATCAATATGATGGTACTCGCACACCTGACGGGCAAATCAACAGAAACAATCACACGTTACTGGGAGCAGTTGCGTCAATTCTATCCAAAGAGCGATTTTGTGGTGGACCTGGATAAGAAATCCGCTGAGTTTGACCGTCTGTGCCTGGAGTACGAACCGAGCCGCGAGCAGCTGCTTGCAGTTTAAAAAAATCGATTCCCAATTTATACATTCATTTATAAAACTATATGTATATGCTTTATATTACAATACAAATATATTAGAAACATAGATATATTTATATGTGTGTGGAGCAGTCATCAGTAGGGATCAATTGCGATTGCCAATTGATTAAATGTAAGTCCTTTCGACTAGCCGGGAAATAATCTAACTACATCTGATAATGGGCTCAATAAGCATCTTACATCTTTTTAGCTAGTTGTGGAATTTTGTTAGATTTAATTGATCGTTCCCTTCAATTAATATTATTCCGCCATCCCAGTCTTTAATAACTGTGTGGAAGCAAAAATAATTAGTAGATTTCGAATCAACTGCTTTGCTCTACTTACTTTTGCTTGAATCCATATTTCTTACGCTCATAGAACAAATCTGTCTTTGAGCTGCCTAGATTGACGATCTTGGGACAGCCATCGCGCTGCAAAGTTTAAAATTTAAATATGAACTAGAAAGATAATATATTTTTACAATATACTCACATCCTTCTCTTGTATAGTGCAGGATTTGCAGTAGTAGGCATCAGAGACTCCAGGACCGCCACATATCACGCAGCGTCCCTGATACGAGCCATAGTTGCACTCATCACAGATGCGCACCAAAGTGCATGGACGCACATAAGAGTCACAAATAACACATTTCCCATCGTCCTTTTCGCAAAGCCGGCCAATAGCTGCACGTGAAACAAGCAGGAAAACAAAAAAATGTTTCTTTAAGTTATGCAAAAAATAACTGCTCCCTGTGCTACTTACCCACGCCAGGCTGTTTGCGACAGAAAATTAAATCAGGATGATGTTTAGCCATATTGAAATAGATTTATTTTAATATATATTCAAGCTAAATACAAAATTTAGGCTTTTTTAATAATGGATGCTCGCAATGTTGTTTGCAGTGTGACCGTCAACTAAAAATATGAAACGACATTAAATAAGTGGACTTTTGCGGCAGTTTTTAACTAAGAAATATAGAAGTATACTGTCTCAATAGCCGAAAATACCAAATTTTGTTATGGTCACACATTAGCAGCTGTTTGCCTTATTTTCTGTATACAACTTTGAGAAAAGTGCATAAAGCAAAATGCAATTCATTTAAATTGTGTGAATTACTGTAATAATACATATTGAAATATTGTATAAAGCGTTAGAAAATGTCACAAGTGACATCGTCCACGACACAAAGTGCCGCCGCCGCTCAAGCGGGTAGCAGGCGCTTGCAAAACAACGATGCAGGCGTTTGCGTGGGCGTCGGTGGCGTAGGGTATGGCGAAACCGAATGGGAGGCACGCGAGGTAGGCTGAAATATGACAATAAATTAGTGCAAACACTAAATATATATGAATGTGATTAACAGTCGCAACGCCAGCGGGAGCTACACGAAGCGCGCGCTAGAGCTGCACAAATGGAAAAGACAATGAAGTGGTGGTAAGTAGGAGCCACCTGGTAGAAGACCAGCTGCTACTTATTAATATACTAAATCCAAACTTCGCTGCAGGTCCGATTGCACTGCTAACTGGCGGGAGAAATGGAGTAAGGTAAAGTTGCCATGGCACCTACCGTTGAATCAATATGTTTTCAACTTGTTTAATCACATACAACATTTAAACTTAACAGGTTCGCAACGAGCGGAATAAAGCGCGTGAGGAATCAAAACAACTAAATCTTAAGCTGGACGTAGCCATGAAGGAGGCGCACTCTTTAAAGCGTGAGAAAAATGATCTGGAAGTGCAAATAACGCAGTTAAAGAAGGAAATGGAAAAGGTGCACACGCTAATGATGAAACATGCCGGACAATTTCATCGTGCTGATACCAATGAGGATGCTGAAGCGAATGGTCGCGATGCAAATTGCTCACCCGACATCTCATCCGATGGTCTAAAGAATGTCAATAGCGAAGATGGCTTAGTTACCAAACTTCCGAACGATGTTAAAGATTTGGATATTGAAGAATTCACTTTAAAGGGCGCTATGCCCAAGCATTTGAGTGACTTGGACGAGGCTGCGGCTGTTGCTGAGGAGAAACGTCTAATACAGCAATTGTCCAAAGATGATTTCGATGAGGATTACTTGCTGCAAAAGATATCGATGCTGCAATTGCGATTGGATGAGGCACAAAAGACATTACAAGCGGAACGAGAGTACGTTTCAATAACTCTTACCAATAATTAGACAAATAAATATATAATTTATTCTGCTCGACAGTGAAAAGCATGAACTGCACAAGAGTATAGAGAAGTTGGCTTTGGAGCTACAAGATGTGCGTGGCCGGCAGGAGGAGTTACGCTCAGCTAAACAGGAAGCAGTGCGAGAGCTACTCACATTACAGGTAAGCATCTCTATATATAATAGTTATATATAATACGTTTAATATCGTGCATTTATAGGAACAGCATCGCGCCGAGATGCGTATTGTGAACAATTCGCTACAAGAAGAAATTGCAGCACGTGAGAATCTGGAGCGCCGGTATGAAGTGGACTTAGCTCTCTAGCATTTTTGAGAACTATATTTAACCATACTTACTTTTATAGCCTCAGCGAGCTGCGCACCGAACTCGAACATTTGCAGGCGGAAAATGCATCGGAGTGGGGCAAGCGCGAACGTTTGGAATCCGAAAAGTTAGCGCTGGAACGCGACAATAAGAAATTGCGCGCTGAACTGCGTGATTATCAGGAGCGTTCGGATCGCAAATGTCGCCCAATGCAGGCCAATGATGTGGAGCTACGCGCTCTGCAGCAGGAGCTATCGGAGCGAAATAAGGAAATTAGCGAAGTCAAAATGTCGCATGCTAAGTTAAAGAAATTGCTGGCCGAGACCAATACAGAGCTGGGTCATGCAGTGCGACGGGCCGAACAATACGAAGCGGAGGTGAGTTACATCTAAATTTTGTATCGTATTCTAAATTCTTTCAACTAGGAAGGTTAACTTTGTTCGATTATGTCATCTTCTGAAAAAGAATTTTTGAGCCAAAGATGTCTCTTATCTTCTTATGTTAGCTTTAGAGTTTTACTTTATATTTATAAACTATAAAACATATATAAATGCCAGAGTTGGCTTTTTCGTTTCGTATCAAAAGCAACTTTAAGTCTAATTGGCGAAGGCGGCTAAGCCGGTAATTGCACGTCCCAAGATCAGCGCATGAATATCGTGTGTGCCCTCATAGGTGTTTACTGACTCCAGATTCATAACATGCCTGATCACATGATACTCATCGCTGATGCCATTTCCACCCAACATATCTCGCATCTGGCGTGCTATGTCCAATGCTTTGCCCGCATTATTGCGCTTCAGCAGCGAAATCATCTCGGGTGTATGAAGTTTGCTATCCTTAAGCCTGCCCACATGCAGACAGGCGTGCAGACCAAGTGCTATTTCTGTCGTTGCATCCGCCAGCTTCTTTTGGATCAGCTGATTGGCAGCTAAGGGTCGTCCGAATTGTTTGCGATCCAACGTATATTGACGAGCTATCTCCACACACGCCTCCGCAGCACCCAATGCACCCCAGGCGATGCCATAGCGCGCATTGTTGAGACAATTGAAAGGTCCGCTAAAGCCCAAAGCATTGGGCAGCAACAGGTCCTCCGGTACACGCACATCATCCATCAATATCATGCCCGTGGGCGAAGCACGCAATGAGAATTTGCCTTCAATTTTCGGGGTGTCCAGGCCCTTGCTTGATAATTTCCTATCGATAATAAAACCCCTCAATTTGCCATCCTCACATTTCGCCCACATGATGATGACATCGGCTATCGGTGCACTAGTTATCCAAGTCTTTGAGCCATTCAGTATATAGGTCTTGGTCTTGCTGTCATATTTCGCATTGGTTTCCATGCCAGCTGGATCGCTGCCATGATTCGGTTCCGTTAGACCAAAGGCGCCTGAAAAGTAATACATAAAATCGTCAGTGAAACAGATTTTCATTATCATATTCTAATAATTTACTATAAGAAAAGTAGTAATAAGAAATCGCAAAGAAATACTCTTTGCAGAGTATTCAAGCTTCGACGTAGTTGATTAAATTTTTCTGTTTGCAAATTGCTTTCTTTGCATTTAGTATTTTTCCGCTCAACGCACAAATACAAATGCAATATTTGAGGAGAGCAAAAGAGAAAGAGAGAGAGAGACTGAGAGAGTGAGAGTGAGAGCGAGCTTTGGTCGCTGTTGAAGTTGTTTGCTGTCATCTGCTCACATTTAATTCCCTCACCTACGCCCTCTTCCCACACAAACGTTCAACTTGTTTGCTTCAGTTTGTTGTTATGGGCTGCTGCCCCTCTCTTATTAACTCGCTAACGCTTATTCTAATCTGCATCTTATCAGTGCTGATAAACAACAAATCTTTAAAGTTTATGCTTTAAATAAAAAAAAAAACTTAGCAGGTGATCGCCATGAAAAGCGTGCAGAGATGAATGTATGAACAAAATGTTCTTTTGCTCACCAATCAACTTGCCCTGCGCCAGGCCAGGCAAATATTTTTGCTTTTGCTCATCGGAACCATAATCATATATGGCGCCCATCGCCAGAGAACTTTGCACGCTGACCGCGGAACGATAGGCGGAATCAATACGTTCCACTTCGCGTGTGAGCAGTCCGTATGCAACACTGGAGACGCCTGCACAGCCATAGCCCTGCAGTGTGCAGCCCAATACGCCAAGACTACCAATCTCTTCCATGATCTTCTTATCGAATTGTTCCAATCGATTGGCTATCTTTACGCGCGGCAACAGTTCCGATTGGCAATAGCCACGGAAGGCATCCCGAATGGACACTTCTTCCTCCGTTAACTGACTCTCCAAATTCAATGGATCTTGCCAATTGAATTTTGCTGCGCTCGCTTTGCTGCTGGCCAGGCGACGCGCAACAACGCATGGACGCAGTTTACCGATTACACTTTGCGCAATCATTCTTCTTTTTTGTTATTTTTTTGCCTTTTAGCTTTATTATGAAATTCCGTCAGCTGGTTGCTCCAGCTCCCTCACTCGCCGAACTGTCGCGCTTGACTCGTGACGAGAGACTAAAAAGAAAAGCTTTGTGCTGCATGAAAGCTTTCAACTGACAGTTGTTATCGCTGTTTCTCGCTCTCACTTGTGAGCATTGTAGTTCTCATAGCTTCTCCGTGGGGGTTCTAATCGAATCGGCTTTATCTGAAGACTTTGATTTAAGAGCGCTGATAACCAACGAAATGAAATGTTTTCTGATTATAAGTAGCCGTTTATAGAGTTCATCGATGTTAGTAAAATTAAGTTTAAATATTATATTATACTTACTTTAGTTTAGTTTTCAGTTAAGTTAGTCTAGCTGATCTCTTTGATCTCCGATACTATAAAAGTGGAAGACATCAAAATTAGTACGGCTTCTTAAGTAATATGCACATTAAATATTTATCTAACCTGCAAGAAATTCTTAGAAACCAAACTCGTTATTCTCAGAAACTACAAAAACTCAAGCAATAGTCTACACTGAGATCAGGGAAATATCCCTAAAACTATTAAGGCTAAAGATACCACAATTTTAAGCTTTAAGCTTTATTTCCACTTCATTCTGAAAAATCATTGAATAAAGATTTCGTTCACTTTCTGTATACAAAAACTGATTGATAGCTCTCTAGCTCTTTAAATTTCTCGCGAAAGATCATTAAATGCAACTCTGTTAATCTCAATCATAATATACACATTTTGCTGCCATGCGCGAGAGTCAGTTTCAGTTGTGCAGTCATTGAAAGCAGGCAATCTCGTGAATCTCGTAAAAAAAAGGGGGAAAACCGTGAATTTTCAGCATTATTGATTGTTAACTAAACAAAGAAACTTAAAAAGTGTTGATAAATGGTTTTTGGAATTCTATAACTCAAATTTAAACTTTTAAGAATTCTTAAACTGAGTTCAATACCACGAAATATATTGAAAAATCTGAGAATGACTAGATCTAAAGTCAAGACCCAGACTGTAAGCGTCTTAACTTAGACTGTTGAAATATGAAAAACCTACCTGGAAGATGGTTAATGCAAATGCTTTCACTCGACTCGAAGCCCAACCACGCGGGCAATGCAAGGCATGTGAATTGGAAGTGTTCAGTCGACATCCGAACAAGCTTTGGCGCCGCGGATAAAACATGGAACTATGATAATGCATCAGATACCGCGCCAGAGATGGAGGAGGTGGGTCATTTAGCCAACAAGGTTGTGGCCACAGCTAGCTGGTGTCATTCAGAAATTGCTAGAACTATTGGGTCAAGTGAAGGATAAATAAAAAATATTTACATATCGATCTGATATTTAAGGCTTAGCTTGATTAATTAAATACTATATATTTATATTGTTTTTCAGGTAAAGCGTTTACGTCAGCGCGTTGAGGAACTGAAGCGTGAGCTGGCCGGGGCTGAGGACGAGCTGGACTCGGCCGTAAATCAGGTGCGACGACTGCAGCGCAGCAATGATGAGCTAGTGGGACAGACGGAGGGATTGCAGGTGCAAATACAACATTTGCAAAACAGGTGAATTGGCATTCTTTTATTACAATTACTACTTAAAACCAAATCCAACTCTGACTAATTGCCCCAACTAACATATTTCATGGTGCTGGCTAAAAACTAAAACTTAACTAAAAACTAAAAACCTCAACTTGAACAAAAGACGCGCACCAAGTCCGCAGCTGCGTGGCATTGGCGGTGTTCAGTTGCGCAATAAAATTGCCGTGGAGCTGCCCAATGAGTGTTTGCCGAACATCAATGATCTGCGCCAGATCTTCGATGATGGCCAGGCGGGCTTGCGCAGCTCGCACAATGGCTGTGATGCGGCGGCAGTGCATCATGCAGCTGCTGTGAAGCGTTCCAGTCACACAGAGCGCACGCTCTTGCAGCAGCAGCAAAGCAATGCAGCAGCAGCAGCAGCGGCAGCAACGGCAGCTGTTGGTTATTACGATGCGAAGACAACGCATTTTGAGGACAACATTTTCGAGTCGAAGTCACGCAATTTGGAATTTGAGCGTGCCAAGCAAAAGTTTGACAATCCGCATGGACAGCAGCTGCATCAGCATCAGCAACTGCAGCAACTACAGCAGCAGCAGCAGCAACAACAGCAGCAGCAGCGGCAGCGCAGTTCCGCTTCTCGCTACAATAGCAACACTGGCAGCAGCACTGGCGGCAATCGAGCCAATCTGGCCTTGCCACTCAAATGCATGACAAACACATCCCAAAAGGATGTCGATATCAATAGGCAGCTGTATGATGCGCAGGATAAGGATCAGTCGCATGCGGGCTATGCGCGCAATAGTGTTAATTTAGATGGTCTCAAGGTATCCGACGATGAGGTGAGACTCGCAACACTGCCATGAAACTAACTTTTGGTTTTTCGGACATTTTCATTTTGATTAGATATTGATTTTATTTTATATATTTTCCAATCATATATTTCATTATAAATATTCTTTTTGCAGACTCCGTAGCTATGGCTCGACAAGTTTGCTGCTGGACGATGAAACTGAAGGAAATAGCGACTGATTCGTCGAACTATAATGAAACATACATATTTTACTTAACTTAATCATTAGGTTTTAAGTCTTTCAAAATTGATCTTAGGCTATGATTTGCTGTCCACTATTTGTTTTTTGTATGTTCCTTAGTTGTTGTATAAGTTTTTTATATATTTAAGTATTCGTTCGCTTACAAAAAACTCCTTTTTGGAATACTCAACTCTGGGCAGCCAAAAGTCTAACTCCATGTCTCTTTGCATACTCCAATTTGATGGCAGCTTGTACTTATGAGAGTTGTCAAAGATTTGTGAACTCTATGTCCATAAGACCCATAAGACTATATACGCTCTTTAATTAACCCAATAATTTTTAACTTCTGAACTCTTTGTTTTGTCAATAGATAAGTTGAATAATAATCGTTAGTTTTATATAGCATAACACTATCTAAATTGAGCTGATCTATATAAGCCTAGGGAACAAGTCAATAGAACTTATATATATATAAATATATATCGATACATTCTTGAGCTTCACAAACATTGCGCTGAATACATATTCCATTTACTATACCACAACAAAATTGATATGGCCATATCGAGATCTCCTAAAACCCAATTGCCTTGTGCTTTTATTACACAAGTTAACACTGCACTGACTGCATGATTCCCACTCAAATGACTTAACAGATATATTTATAAACATATATTTGATGTAGTTGCATATGTATGAGCGAAGAATATTCATTTTAATTTGTCTAGGAAGTTGTAATTGCGTCTCCATAGTTTCCTTTTGTATATGTATATGTATAGGTACGTATATAATGATTCCGGGTGTCTCCTAGTCGGGCACTCCTTCGAAATTTCTTATTTATTTATGTCTTAAGATTCATTGTCGCCTGTCGAAAGGAACGTTGAGAATAGTATGTTTTATTTTGTTATGTTAAACAATTTTAGGCGACTCTGCAGTCCAATTATATTTAATTCATTATTCCCTAAACTTCTCAATCGATTTGATATGAATCACTAAAACATAAACTTACTAATCTAGTGAGTTCTTAAAGAGAGCGTCACGTTCTCAATTCGTAATATAATCTGAATTGATATACTCTATATAAGCATGGAAGTAAGTTCTTATACTTTTTATATATAGGAGGTCTGTTCTTGAATATATATTAGGTGCTTTTCACATATAAATCCGTAGTTTTTGAACAGACCTCTCTTACATTCAAATATTGAGCTTCGCAAACCTTTCGCTGAATACAGATTCCATTTACTATAGATATATCCAAAAATGTATATGGCCATAATCAGATCTCCCAAACGAATTGTCCCTCAATTGACTTTATACTAAATATATAATATATATATATATGCATTTTCGATCTTATAGAAGAATAGAAATGTTTTAAGCTTCCCTCGTATATATGCAACTATATTTATAGGATGCAGGTTACAGTTTTTATTGACTATATATATTCTAAAAATAGATATATACATATACATATGTAGTGCCAGAAAAGATCATAAAAGTTATATAAACAATTTTGATATGTTTTTTCTCCTAGAATTGCGAACTAGGCGCTGTTTTTTATTTGATATTAAAAAATTCAAAACATTAAAACTTCAAATACGTAAATTTGTGCCTCTTTATGAAAGATTTTGCAATTTTTTGGCCATCTAGTCTTTGTTTCGATTGGCAGCCGCAAAAGTTCGCAAAAGGAAAGCATATTGAAGTCTATTTGTAGAATTTCTTAATTGTTAAAAAATATATATATAAATAATTAATATAAAAATATTTACATATTTTAAACTTTAGCAATATTTGTATTTTATAAATTACATATATTAAAAATAAAGTTATATATAAAAAATAAATATATCAATAAATACATTTAATAATAAAGCTATGTCTATACAATTTGGCATGTTACAATTAAATTATGAAAAAATATAAAAATATATATTTAGTTTACTTTTGTCGAACGAATTCTTCATGACTTGAGTGGGAGTATGCGACTCAGAATTGCAGAATTGCAGCCAAAGCCAATTAGAAACTGACTTCTCTGACAATTTCCAATCCGATTTGTAATGAGAATCTCAACGAAATTCTTTAATGATAACTGATAACTGATCTATGATGATCACACTTCAACACGCGTCTTCTATTTGCTTTTATTGAAGCTAATGATATATATGTATAATATATATGTATTAGACTATATGCACATAGAAGTATATATACACATATATGTATATAGAAACAATAAGAGAGAACTTCGAATTTAAAATATATAAAAAACAAATTATAATTGAAACCGTTCGACAGGTAGCTACAATTGTAGGTGAAGTTGGGTTTTCATAAACCATACATACACACACATATAGTAGCCTATAGGGAAGCTCCATTTGTCGCATGAAGTCATATAGTTTTTTTTTTTTTGAGCACATTCTAACAAAATTAATACAGTATTTGGAGAGAAGTAGAAAAATAGAACGAAATAAATTCATGTAAGCGTGTTAATTTCAATTTTCTTTTTTTTTTTTTTTTGGAGAACGATAAGAGATTAAAATGGTACAGCGAAGCACAAAATTCACTGGCATCTGCATTGCCATCTACTTGGTATATGCGGTATTTGTGTTCTTCATATTGCCGTTGTTGTTGCCTGATCCAGTGACAATGTCGCGCAACATACTCGCCCAGCAGACACGGGGCATGCAGTATGGGAATTTGACGAACATCACGCTCGAGGCTGGAGGACAGCCGTTGCGTTCGCTGCTGGTCACGTTTCGTGGCTCGGGCGCAATGGGTCTATTAGAGTTTCTGTCGCGTCAGCCAGGTGCTTACCATCATTTCTCACCATTGATCGCGCACAAGGAACGCATAACGGACTTGCCGGAGGCTTCATCCGCTCTGGAGGAGCTGCATTCGTTGTTTAATTGTGATTATAATCGTTCGCTGGCCATGATCAAATATGGCATGCAAACGCCGACATTTCGCAATTTCTATGGTGTACAGTGGAAGACGTGCCTGACCTACACCATGGATGTCTGCTCCAATCCGGAGACTTTGTCGAAAATTTGCAAAATATTTCCATTTATCAATATGTCCGTATATAATTTGGGTTTGAAATATATCAAATCTATGCTTGAGCGAAAGGAGTGAGTATCTATTAAAATATATATATGTATGATATAAATATATATATGAGTATCTATTAAAATATATATACTATTTAGTCTCAATGTACGTATGCTACTGTTAATACGAGATCCGCGCGGAACCATGGGATCGCGTTCGAATCGTAGCTGGTGCACCAATCCTGCCTGCTCTAAGCCCTATGATCTGTGCAGTAATATGGTGGAAGATTATCAAATCTCTGAGTTTCTATTGAAAGAGTATCCGCATCGTTTCAGGTAAGTTTGTCGAATTTCAATATATAATTTTGCAATATATTTTGCATATTTCTTAGTATTATTCGCTACGAGGAACTAGTGCAGCATCCGTTGGACGGCTTTGTAAATATCTTCAGTTTCTATGGTTTACCAACGAAAAACTTTCAGGACATGAGTAAAATATTAAATGAAACTGAAATTCAAGCTAAATTTCTGGAGCATTTCGAAATGCCATTGGACTGGCAAAAGACATTGTCGCTCAATGAGATTGTGAACATCCAAAATATCTGCCAAAAGGCTATGATTCTTTGGGGCTATAAACCCATAACAGATTTTGATAAAGGCCTAATGAATATCGTTGAACCGTTAAATAAGTTGCCATTGTTTTTGAAGTGAGGTCTTTCCAGTGCTTGAAGCGAACTAATAATGAAGTATTTAAATATTTGTATTAAACGCATTCAATATAATCTACATGGGTAAAACATAAAAAAAGAAAAACACATTGCATTATTTGCAGTATTTTTATAACAATGATTTTGAAATAAATATGCTATAATAACTCGACTTACGCCGATAACAAGCTTAGAGTTGGACTGACAGTATTTTTTCGGTATTTTTAGATTTGTCCAAAATTTGTGTATTTTAACGATTAATGCTCTACGTTCGCAATTTGACAACACAGCTGTTCATTCCGTTTTCGCTGCTCTCGGAAAGCTCGTCAAACGTCACAACATTAAATTCCAACGGGACAGTCGGGACAAAATAATTAATAAAAAAATAAAACGCGAGCGAAATCAACAAATTGCAATGTTTTGCACACTTAGAAAATGTTAATTGGTGTTGCTGTTACTGTGCGACGTATTTGTTTGTGTGCTCGTGTAGGCGTATGTGTATGATTTGTTTATGTGAATATGTAAACAAAAGTGAATAAGTGTAAAGTTGAAAGCGTTAAGTGTTAAAGTATCTAATTAATTTAAGTAATAACAAATGAGCACAAGCGATCTAGACTTGGAGTCCTGCGCGCTATTGACCGGCATCACAGTCGAAACTGCCGCTAACGACTCCAACGCTAACGCCCCCGCCTTAGCCCCGCCCACTGTCAGGACACGCACTAAGCAGCGCATCAGTTTAAATTCAAAACGTCGACGCAGCCGCATGTCCCGACGCGCAAATCTCATTGGCATCTGCGGCATTAGCAGTTTGTGCATACTGCTGCTGATTGCCACCACGCAGCGCCGTCCCTCCATTTCCCCCTTCAGCAGCGGCAGCAGCAGCAGCAGCGCTGGAAGTATCGCTGGAAGCAACAGCGCTGCTCTCGCTTCCAATCAACTTCCACGCAGCAGCTACTATGAGCGGCAGCAGCAGCCATCACAAACGGCCGCCACAATTTATAATATGACAGCGACCATAGTGGATGTCCTGGCTGGGCAGCGTGCGCGCATTCTCCAGGAAATGGAAAACTTTGAGTATCCGCGCGGCGGTGCCGAAAAGCTAAATGATATGACACTCGAAACAGCAGGCACACCAGTGCGCAGCATTGTGATCACCACCTGGCGCTCGGGCTCAACGTTTTTGGGTGACATTTTAAACGCAATACCCGGCAATTACTATCACTATGAGCCGCTGTTAGATTTTGGCATTAAACAGGTGCGCGACCAGGAAGAGCAACAGTTCGCTGTACAAAATCTTAAGAATTTGCTCAATTGTGATTATGCCGATATGTCGGACTACTTGGAGTATGGCAAAACTCACACTTATTTATTTGAACATAATCAGCGATTGTGGGAAGTGTGTCGGGAATATCCACGCTTTTGTTGGCGTCCCGCCTTCTTGACGCCCTTCTGCAGCCTTTTTCCCATACAGAGCATGAAGACGGTGCGACTGCGTCTTGCTCAAGCCGAAGAGCTGTTAAAGGATCAAAGGTGAGTTTTTAAAGAAATTTACATATATTTCAAATAAAATTAATCTGCTACTATTTCAATCTGTTCAGTTGCATTGGAAAAGTTTAAATTTCCAGCTGCATTTTCGACTGTTCTTAATGATTTACGCATGGTCACACTTTTTAGATCAAGATATAGGAGAAACAAGTTGATTACTAACATTTATTCCATTATCAAGTTATATTTTGACAATTATCGACACGATTTGAATTGTAAATTAATTATTTTCACAGCATTTTTTACTACGTTCTTCTGGGTTCTAAGAATTCAGCGCATTTGGTCACACTTTTTCGTATTAAGCCAAAATATTAGCTTAAAGTAATAGAAATAAACTCTAAGAGAGAGAGAGAGAGCGAGAGAGTGAGGGCGAGAGAATGACTTAAGTCTGATCGCGTACAAAGAAAGTGAAAGGCGATGCCGCATGCGCAAATTGCGCGAATCCCTCTTTGACACACGTCTTTGCCGCTATTGCTCTTGCTGTTGCTTTTACTACTGCTGTTGTTGTTTTTATTTGCGGTTTCTCTGTGTGCCATCTTGCTCACCCATTCAACTAGTTCGTGTGTTAGTTGTTATTGCTGTTTATTTTCCCCCACATATCAACTTTATCTCTATTTAAATGTGGTTTGACTTCGTTGTTTAGTTGTAGTTGAGGTATATACGAAAATGAGAAAGAAAAGCTTTTTAAGGTTATCTAATTTTTTAAGATTTAGTATACGTACACATAGTTTACATGCAAAATAATTTATGTACAATTTAAGATTTATTATAATCTATCTATCTGTCAGCTAATTTATTTATCTAAACTGAAATTAAGTTAATTAGTTTTGTAAGAAAATCCTTGAGAAATAGCCATTTGGGTTTTCCAAATATGATAGATATTTATATATATAAGTCAATTGGTAATTGACAGAAATTCCGTATGTAAACAAGTCAAGTGGTAATTGACAGAAATTGCGTTTGTATTTGATAGTAATATTGTCAAAGTAACGATAAGAATTTCATTGAGTAATTTATTTATTTCAATCAAGCTTATCGGAGCAATATAATTATGCCACCTGCTTTACTTCTTACCTTCTGATAGGTGAACATTATGTTCTAATAGTTTTTTTTAAATAAAAAAACCTAATTCTTATTAACTGATAATATTCTATATCTAATCAATCAATAAAAATACAAATATATTTTTGCTGTCTGGAAATTTGGAATGGGCAAAAGTTTCCATATGTACATATGTATTTTGTATATATCTTATCGTTATGGTATTTCCTATCAATTTAATGAGCTAATACATCTTAATTCATGAAACCAGTAAATACAAATTTACAATAAATATATTATAAATTATTAAATTTAACACAAAAAAAAGTTTAAAAAAATTAAAAAATTATATAATTTAATTTAGAAAATTTCAAACTACGTTTGAAAGTATTAAAAAAAATATATTTAAACAATTCATTTGAAAAAAGATTATTTTTAAAAATATGAGCATTTAATAATGTTTGTCTTCAAAATGTAATATTTATATATATTAAAATATATAAAGACATATAAGATATTATAAATACCCACTATAAGAAGCTTGACAAAATATAAAAGAAATAAATAAATAAAACTTATCAAAAATATTTTAAAAGTATATTTCCGTTCATTTATCAGATATTACAATAAATTAGTTGAATAACATTTTTTTAAAATCAAAATCAAATATTTTAATATTAAATTATTAAAAAACATAATACAATTTTTCATAAAATGAATTATATTAAACGATTATAATATTAATAGCAGATTCTTCGATGTAAATGTGAAATGTAACTAAACCTTAACTGTGTGTAAATATCCCGTTAGCTATTGATGAAGTGCAGGGCAAATCCTTTGACTAAATAATCTTAAGTAAATTTGTCGCTACTCGTTGTCGATTTGACCGCAAACAAAGTCTCGTTTACATAATTTTCTATTTAAAATCGAAGGCAAACAAAAACTTTGCACAAAATCAATATAATAATGTAGTTGTGTCTATGTGTGTGTGTATTTGTGTGTTTGGGAATTCACTGCAAACAAAGCGATGAGGGGAATGTAAACAGAAACCCAAAACGTATTTGATTGATGTGCTTTCTATTTTTCGACAATTCTATTGCTTTATATACGTAAATACATATATATATATATATCTATCGCTCATACATACGTATATATATTGTATATTGTGGTTTCAGTTACAAGACATTTAGTGGCACTCAAAGGACATTTTGTGGTATATGTTATTGTGTTTGTAAAAGGCATTAAATTTAGACAAGATGTGCTGACACTTGCAGATCCAATGCAAATTGATTGAAATGGGTGAATAGCATGAATCGAATTTGATATTTATATAGAAGTTGAATAAACTTGAATGCCTGATGAGGTTCTTTCCTTTGATAATGATTACTTTTAAAATAAAATGGGAACAAGGGCAATGTAAATGAAATGGGAAATGTGTTCTAGTAGTAGCGTGAAATCATGAATAAATATAGTGTTTTAAAAAATTGTATATGTATATATATATATATAAATCTGTATATTATATCTAGCCAAGTTGTTTGTTTCTGGCTTAAACACAAAAACGCAAAAAAAATAACAGAAAAATGGCTGTTTTTCTTAAGAAACCCTATTCCAGGAATGTGGTATACGTTGCTTTTTCCGGTTACTTCTTATCGATATTTATCGATTCTACTGCTTATGATATATTTGATCATATTTATCTGCTATTATAGATTATTGAAGCGACTACATCAAATCTATATATATTTCTAATTTTTTTTTCTCTACTCTTTGTTCCATAGACACTGAACAGAGTTTTTTTTAGCTGCAGCTGGGCTTGGTTATTATATCATTTGAATAGTCCCTTAGCGGTGTGACTACGGTTGTCTTGACACCTCGCTCGAACAGTTAAGCATTTCACACTGCATATGGCCAAAAGCAATTAGCATACGAAATTAAAGCTTGGTATGTGGCCAAGTCTAGCCGGAAGCTATTGCAAATTCTTCTAACTAAATTAGCTGAGCTTTAAGTGATTTTGTTTTTTCTCTTCTTTTTCTATTTCGTTACACAGACATTTCTGTTTGGCACTCGCCATTCGCGTCATGCACTCAGCTTTCTCGTTCAACTCTTTCTTTAGTTGGGATCTTTCATTGTAGAGAAATCTTAAGAGAGATCTTTTTATAGGTATTCCTTATATGAGATAACTAAGAATCTTTTCTTTATCAAAATTAACTAAATCTAGAGTGATTTTTACATTTACTTCAAAGTTAGGTTTATTCCTTATATAAATATAACATTTTTAGCTGTAGGCAATCTCAAGATTTATAATCTGAATGAGTTATACATAAAGATAAAGTTCTTATTTTTGATATAAATTTATAGCTGGCACAAATTAATTTATGTTGTTTATCAATTTGACTTAGAGATACTACTTATCTTACCTGTCTTAACTTTGCCTTTTATTAAATCATTAATGATATTGCCACATTCAAAAATTTTGCTTTAATTTTATTGATGCTTTATCATACCATTAAGGGTATTGCCAGATTCATTTATTATTTTCAACCTTTTCTTTTGCCTTCTCTCATTCTGCTCTTTGCTTTGCTGCATTCACACACTTTTCACACTCTATTTACGCAGTGTAGCTGAACGGCTTGGAGCACCCGGTCGTTGCCCAGTGAAATGCATCAAAATTCCGGAAGCGTTGGCTTAGATTTATGTTGCGGAGGGCTACACCCGGCCGCCCCGTGCTCCCTCCTTTGATTGCCTCGCCCCAAATTGGGGTCAGTGTAAGGCGTGTGGTTTTTGGGTGACTCACTAAGCGGCCGCTAACTTGGCTGACTTGGTTTCTAATTGACGGCTGGCTCCCTCTCTCTCGCTCTCTTTTCATATGTCTCGCTCTCTCTCGTTCGCTCGTTGGGTGCGCCCGGCACGAATGCTCGGGGGTTCTCTAATCATTAATTGCGTATACGCCGCATTGCACGCTTGCCTTTTAAATAAATGTGCTTAATAGGCATTTTATTTTTATACATTGCATGGGTTTTGTATTTTATTTGATTTCTGTTTTAGTTGTTGTTGTTGTTGTTAGTGTTGGGTTAATGTTAAGTAGTTTGATTAAACAGGCATAATCAAAGCCTGATCAATAAAAATAATTATTTAAGTGTTTCTAAAGGTTAAGCTATTTATAATATTTTTTAATATAATTTCTTTTTAGTATTTTCATTTATTTATATTATATTATAATATATAATATGTATAATGCAGAGAGTATATTATTTTTACAATCTGTGTAGATACAGCGATACTCCCATTGAAGGCGTGGCAAATCAGATATTACTAAAATTATTAGCCCAATAAACAATATTTGAATTTTTTTTATTGTCATTATATACTCACGCCTATTGAAGAAATATATAAAATATGGTGTGACTCGTTCTTTGGTTCGTAGTAAATCGAAAGACTCTTATCTTCCACTCATTTATGCTAAGAGTCCAAATATATTGGCAGCTGGATACGTCTATAGAAAAAAGTATATCCCTCACAGCTTTAAGACTATGATTAGCAAGTTTAGTGGTTAGATCAGTATTGGTTTACTTTACAAATATAATTACTAATTAAGGGCTAAGCCAATTAAATAAATTAAGCCATTTCTCTTTTCTTTACAAACAGAAGTTTAAAAAAAAATAAAAAATAGTTAAATAAATTGAAAAAAATACTAATACTCCAATATTATTATTTTTTTTTAAATTTACTTAAATTACTTTTTTATTTTCTCTATTCTCATATATAGTTCTGTCCATAATGTTGTTTATTTCATTAGAAAGATCTCACTATATTTTAAATACTTCATAGGACATTTTACAACGTACTTTTATAGTCCATTCTATAAATATTCCCACATTCAAATTTTTTTTATTTATTTTTATTTTTATTCTCATATAAAAAAATCTTTTTTGTGGCTT